TCCTGCGTTACGAGATTTGGGATACTGCTGGCCAGGAACGTTTCCACTCTCTCGCTGTAGGTCCCGAGCACTGCTTTACCACCTGCTCTGATTCGTGAATGTAGCCCATGTATTATCGTAATGCTCAAGCTGCAGTGGTCGTATACGACGTGACAAAAGCAACGAGTTTAGAGAAGGCGAAGTCATGGGTAAAGGAACTTCAAAGACAGGCAAATCCCAACATCGTTATCGCACTGGCTGGCAACAAAGTTGATCTCGTGCAAACATCTGCTATGTCATCTGGGTCCACTCCGTCATCCGAGTCTGAAGATGAGGCGGATGATGCTACAGCCACACCTGGGGAGAGTCCTAGCGCTAGCGGTAACGAACCAGAGAGCTTGCGACAGGTGCCACGTGAGGAGGCTCAGGCTTACGCTACTGAGGCTGGCTTGTTGTTTTTTGAAACCAGTGCTAAGACTGGCGAGGGTATCGTCGAGATATTTACAGAAATAGGTACGCCAACTGCATCAACGTGAAACTCCTGCTTAAGATCAAATTCAGCGAAGAAAATACCGATCGAGCACATTCTGGCTTCCTCACGAGGCAGTGCAGGTCGATCTGGTGGTGCAGGCGGACGAGCTGGTGGGGCCAGAGAAGAAGTGAACCTCGAGGAGCAACAATCCAAGAAAGACGGATGCAACTGTTGAGTGTGTCACTATGGATTATTTGGACTGTACACCTTCAACCTTCGCGATCATCTCGCTTCAATTAGCACACCTGTTATTCCCCTCTCTTTGCCATCTACGTGGCTACCGTTGTCTTGGTCTTCATATGTAATATGCTTTTATAATTCATCTGCAACACAAACATGGGATTTGGTACGATTCGAAGCTAACTTATAAATACAATTGCAGCAGAGCACATTTGAGGGTAACGGTAAGTTCTAAGAAATGCACGAGTTGGAATGGTAACAAATTTAAAGTCCCTTTAGGGAATTGAGCCGTTCAAATACGATGAAGAGGGGACCAAATCCATATACGGAGGTGGTCGTGTCACATGTTCTTCCTGGTCAGGATCACTGCCAGGAACAAGATAAGGCGGTGGCGCATGTCCATGTGAGGAAGAATGATCTAAGATGTCACTGGGAGGGTGTAAGGAATCATGAGTCGCGGGAGTTTGACTGTATGATTGATGGGCGAGGGGGGGTGAGTGAGATTGCACGGGGACCCGGACCGAGGGCGACCTGAAGTCGGAATCTATTGAAGGAGGTGGGTCTGACGGATCATCCATCGCAGGCGGTGGAGGAGGGAGTTCACCCCCAGAGCGAGGGGCGCAATCATCTGAGACAATATTCAGAGCCTCAAAAACTCGGACGGGTTCAACTCCTAAATTAGCAAATCCCGTCACATCTGCATCTCGCTCTGCCATCTCCACCGAAGGGGGTGGAGTTGACGAGCGGTGCATCGTATCCGAATGACCATCAAACTGCTCCGATGCAGCAAACCCAAACAGGATTCCCTCGCCGATGATACGGAGTGCTGTGGTTGCAGGTACCTCCTGGTCCGTTGTGTCTGGAGGAATAAATATTCCAGACTCGGATTCCTGGAAGCTTGGCGGAGCATTGGACGTAGAAGGCGTAGAATGGAAGAATGGTGGAGGCGGTATGTCGCGGTCTTCAAAAGGGGGAGGGGCACCGTTCTGAGTATAACTTGGACCCGCTTCTCCTTCCTGATACAAGGGAATCGATGACTCTGGATCTTCTTGACGAACTGTCCTCAAAGGGGGACGGTCGTGTTTTTTTTGATATGCAGCGTCAACCCATTCTTCAACTTCAGGCAGTGGCGCTGGGGGTGGGATGATAGTTAATGGGATGGGAATAGTCATGAGCCGTTCGGTCCTACTGGCCGTTTCCACGAATGAAATGTGGACATTGAGAAGGAAAGAAACTGAATGTAGAAGGGTAGATTGAGTGATGGAGATGCATTGCAGATCATCGTCAAGGCTGTTGTAGTCGCCCTCTGGCAAACTCGTCTGATAATCTACTGGTGACGCAGATGATGAAGCCTGATGCAAGATGAGACGAAGCCGCACAGGTCGAGAGGAGTGAAATCTGCATGATGCACCTGAGCGAGAAGTTACTGTACTATAGGCCGATCCGGGAGAAGTGATCGGAGGCTTCTCCGCAGGGGGAGTGGGTGCCACCGATGAAGGCCCATCCTGAGGTGACGATTCCGCTGTGGATTGACCATAAGGCGTACCAAGTTCAAAATCACCACCATCATCTTGCCCTTTCAAACTCACGACGCGAACAATCTCGGTTTTCACGTTTCGAAGTCTGAGTCCTTCGCGCAGCATAAGCTCCCTACTCGGCGGAGGCACAGTAACATAGACTGGGATGGATTCTCCGGCCCGGAATATTGTGCGAGGAACTTGAACCTCGACACGTGAAGGACTTTCTAGAACGTGGGTTTCCGGCAGAGTATCTACAGCATGAGAATGCGAAGTGTAACGTCGCGTATGCACGACAATCCTTCTTGACACAAGTGGCTCCGACGGATTCGTAGGGTGGAATGTCGCTGTAAGTGCGTATTCCAGCGATGAATGAGGTGTATGAATACACTGGGGTGCATCAGATGTCAGCGGTATTGCGAATGATGTTGAAGAGGACATCGAGTCAGACGTTCCCGTGAACGAGACTAGGTTTATCTCTGATTTTCCCAGCTCAATCTCCTGGCCAAAAGCAGACTCGACGACATGAAGAGCCACGGTGCTGTTGTGCCATGATGAGTTCCTCAGGATAGATGAGCAGCAGCCACACTAACACATATTTCCATTGGCCTGGCTGTGCACCCTTCACATGGATTTCTCCCTCAATAGCAGCGCGCTCTCCTTCAGCTCCTAGGTAGCCCTTTTGGAAGGCAAATGTGTCCGCTGCCGGGATGATGAAGATCTGAAGGCCAGAGATCGGCTCGTCCAGTGCCCCAGGTAGATCCCGTGGGCATACCGGAGAGTAATTTGGCGGAGGCGCCGTGTAGGACGCCATGTATTGTGAGACCAATTTCCCTCTCTATTCTTCTGAGATCTAGAGTGATGGTGAAAGACGATGTGAGATTCTGCCAAGCTGCAGCCTGATACGCGAATTACTTGGACAAGGTTGCACAGCCCAAACAAGATAAGTCAGAAAGTCAAAAATAATTGTATCGTAACACTGACAGCGAGCCCCCGAGTCGCTTAAAGTTCCCAGCATGTTTTGTGTCCGTCGAATCAGTGACGGTATAGCTAGTTTATTTCATTTTGCGTTGGTTAATCCTATGTGATTCTGCTGTCAATGCATAATGTTCTTCGACTTGTAGACGTCCATCTTGACCAGTCTTGCTGAGCCAAGTGGTAAGCCTCTCCTTTTACCACGCCTTAAACATTCACTCATGGATGGATCCTTCAACCTTGTTGCTTCGTGCACTACACTTAATGCACATGCAAGCAGCAGATGGTAAATGACGTTGCGGAATCCATACAGTTGCGAAATGAGTGCAAGGAATGCAGAATTCACGCTGCGTTTGTATTGCATCGCTGCGGCGGCTGCGCTCACAAGAAAATTCGAGACCTGCCGGTGAATGATTTTCCCTCTTATCACACCTTGACATTCACTCATGATGGAGAGGTCCATCTCGCATTCTAGCCGAAGTGATTACCACAACAGAATTGAAATCTGTTCCTCTTGGACTGCAATGGTTCGAAACCTGTTGACGATGAGGCTTTTTTCTATCAAGACACAACTTGACATTCACTCATGGATGGTTTTGTCCGAGGTTCTTATCTGGTCTTAGCCAAGTGGTTACTACCACAACAGAATCAAAATCTGTTGCTCTTGCATTATGCAGGTTTCAAACCTGCCTACAACAGTTTTTTTCTATCAGAACACACCTTCAAGTGACATTCACTCATGCCAATTGGCGAGGCTCATCATAGCCGGTCTTAGCCCAGTGGTCACCACAACAGAATTGAAATCTGTTTCTCTTGCACTCTGCAGGTTCAAAACCTGCCGATGATAAGGTTTTTTTCTATTGGAACATACCTTGAAGATTCACTCGTGGACTGTTCCTCATAGATACGTCTCAACTTTGTCCTGGCCAAAGTGGCTACCACAACAGAGTCGAAATCTGTTTCTCTTGAAGTTGGTTCGAAACCTGCTGACAACATTTTTGCGGTGTGTAGAGCCTCAGAGGTCCATCTTAACTTAGTAGGCCTAGTCATTGCACTGAAACCTCCTTTTTATGTGATAGTCTGTCCATGAAAAGGAAATCGCCTTACTAGTAGCGCCTCGCCAGGATCGTCTCGGAAACATAAATCGAGGTGCGTACGTGCCAACTTAGATTCTCAGTAGACTGACCAAAACTGTCGGGATTACTACCAATTCCAAATGAAAATGGCAATGTTGTTGATGGCGCCGGATGCCAGAAGAATGCACACAAGCTAAGGACAGAGAGAGTCTGACAGTCAGAAAAATGATGTAACTTCCCCACCTTTAGCTTTCCTAGTCATCCTCGGTTGCATTGGAGGAGCCTAACGAGCGAAGGAATGTCCCTCGGTGCGACTTCAGCGAGGTTTGGAAGAATTGAAAGTGGCAGACAGCCATGATAATCGTTCTGATGTGTGTAGTTTGTGTGCGCTCCTGTTTTATGTCTATGCCGAGGAGGAAGAAAAATTTATTCATTTTAAGACCCGGGCACTAGACAGTTGAGAGGTCAACAGAGAGGTCAACGCAAAACTCTAGAACATCCCATAACGGAAAGCTCAAGACACCATGCAGGAGTGGCCCACCGAGGCATGCATAACGGAAAAAGAGGCTCAGCGACTCGGAGAACTGAATGACAACTTGACAAGCCTCTAACAAACAAGGTGTCAAATGATGGTACTGAAAAGGCCCAAACATGAGTGTAGCCGGCAGAGGTTTTGGGAGATGGCAAACCGACGAGAATCCTCCACTAATAACGTTGGGAGTCGGGGACAGATCAAATGGCTGGCAGGACAACAAATTCGATAGTTGACATGGATATCCAGAATTACATAGCAATAGTATCGACAGCAAAATGTACAGAGCGCTGGGGTTCAGTATACAAGATGTTATAACCAACAGTAACCGTCCCGCGAATCTAGCAAAAGACTAACATTCAACTCTCATCAAACTCTCCAGCTCCGAAAACATCACAGGATCCAGATCTCGCATCAACAATTCCCAAGCAGCGTCCCGGCGACTAGCAAGCAACCCTATACCCCTTTCAATACCGGAATCATTACCATCGATAAAGCCCATGCCAAATGCCAGCGTAGTTTGAGTGGACTGTGAGGTGTCAAAAGCATCGTCCTCTTCATCCACCACTTTCATGGCTTCCACCGCTCTGCGTGCAACGGCAAGATGCCATTGGCGCACCTCTGGGCTCCCACCCATTGATACGAATCGTTGCACTATACGAATCATAACTTGTGAGAAACACAGAGGGCGATCCGTTTTGATCTTCTTCTTTAATTCCGGGGGAGAAAAGAATGCGATCGTATAGATCGCCATGATTGACTTCTCCAAGTAAGATAGCCATGGGTCCCGGCCGAGGAAAGCAAAGTCGAGGTCTGATACCGGTAGACGATGAACGAGGGATTCCAATAGTCGCCAAATGAGTGATTGGGGCATGACCCCAGAAAATACCTGCCGATTAGAGTCCAGCTGACCGAGGCGGGTGAAAAACGTCGAGGGCAAGGTCGGCAATAGATGATGGTCTGCTGTGCGGGAAAGGAACCCCACTTTGTTTGAGAAATTGTGTAGGGGGAACTGAATCGAAGGGCTCTATGAGGATAGACGCGATGATCTCGAGGATGCGGCTCGCAGTGAGAGTTGTTGTGTTCGACGGAGAATTAGGATTCGGGAACACGATGTAATTCGATAGATTACCAAAAATGTGAAGTGCATCTTTTCGAACATTGATCACGTCTGAGAGAGCGAGTGCCGGTGAAGTTGGTTTGGGTATTCCGTCTGATGACACAGTGATGCCACAAACACGTAGCACAAGATCAAGTGTGCGTTCATGTCTCGCCAGACAGGGCATATTGTCTGGGGTGACGGAAAGGTTTCGTATGAGGTTAGTCACAGCGAGCACAATATTGCCTGCGCGGTGCCCTGGACCACGTGTCTCATACTGAGGATCACGGATTTCTAGCCCTGCAAAGAGCATGGACTCCTTCTCGAAAACATCATCCACGAGCGCCCGATGTCGCACCATCTCAGCACCATTGCCCAGCCGATAATCCGTGATGTCGGGGGTGGTCCCAAATGCTTCCTCCTCAAGTAGGTCGAGCACCTCCTCGAGTAAATCTGTGCATTGTGAAATGGGAAATCCAGACCCAGGGGTTGGACCCCGCATCGTAGACAACAACGTAATTGTCGTTAGAGCGTAGGAAAGCTCGGCGTTCAATCGCGATCGGATAGACATTGTAAGGGCTTCAATGTCAACCGTTCCCCACTCATTGATATCACGCATGGGCCGCCGCTGAGACCGAAGGTAATCCTCTTCCAGCGCATTGAAATCACGGCCACCAGTGAAATCAATTTCGCGTGACAGGGGAATGTACTCGACTTTTGTCCTCGTAAATTGTGTGCGCGAGGGGGGAGCCCCCGGGACGGATCCTTGTGGTGTTGTAGTATTAGTGGTCTCGGTCTGGGGAAAAAATCAATTCGAGGGCATAAAGATTCACCAGTCTTCACTCACGGTATCTGGCGGATCTGTAGCAGCTCGGATGAGATTCACCGGGTAACAAGAATGATATCTAAATACCTGTCTTTTGCCTTGCTCGTTTCCCTTCTGCCTCTTCGGACTCTAGTCTTCTCTTCGTCCCTTGAGTTTCTGGTTCAGATGTATCCGGTGTTGGTTTCATAAGCTGGGGTGCAGAAATTGAAGTGTTGAGCTGCGATGAAGCCTGAGGCGCGGGGTCTGGGGGAATGGCGGGTGGTTGAAAATTAGGCGCAGAAGATTGGCGTATATGAGGACTTTGTGGTAGTGGCTGTGACTGAGAGGCAGGGCTGATAGTAGAATTTTGATTGTTAACTGTGTGCTGTGCCATCATGCCGCCGACTGCATTTGGGCCAACTGTTCCTGGTTGTAATCCTACATGAGGTGCACCAGGCCCTGCATTCACGTTAGGAGGTCCCGTATTAACGCCTGGTTGGCGTCCAGCCACCATTGCCCTACGGTTACCCTCCTGCATATTACGACGATAAAATTCGTCGAATGGCTGTAAGATGGCGGCGTATAAATGTCCCAGAATTTGACCAACGGGGCGCTGCTGCCCAGGACTCGATAGATGAGGGAGGTACTCTGGCAGGTCGAACTGGTGAGCGACTTGTGCCCAGCCATTTTGTTGTTGTGTGATCTATGATTCCATATTTCAGCATGCGAAACTGATAGAGTACGAATGAACAAACTTTTTGCCACCCTCCCAATTGAGTTACCATTTGCCATAACCTCAGGAGATCAATGTCCTTGCCGCCCAAGCGGATGACACCCGGCTGACCTGGTGGGCAGTCCAAATACTTCCATTGCGAATTTGTAGGGTCATAATTGGGTGGGTATGGTGTTCCAGTTAAAGCCGGCGGCAAGGGAACGCGGGTAGCATGGGCGCCGGCCAATCCTGCGAGGAAAGTTCGCTGTCGGTTCTTGGCAACATCTGATGGGGTGAAGTTTGGATGAGACATGGGTGCGTTTAGAGAAGGATTTGGGGGGGCATTGGTGGTCTGTTGGGCAGGGTAGATGCCCTGGGGATTTGATTGACCTGACGAAGCTGTGGGATTGAATTGCATCGAATTTGTAGTATCATGAGGTGGCCCAGTAAAGCTGCTTGGTTGGTTATAAGAGGATGGCATTCCGCCGAGATATGATCCCGGAGATACTCCGCTGACAGACGCAGACGAGCGGCCGTTGACGTTTGTCATTTGTCTTTGGACTCCTGCAGCATTCATGGCTGCCATTTGCTTTGCAGCAGCATTGAGATCAAGAGTACTAGTGAAGTACTGGGCTGTCTCGAAGTTTTGAGGTGAATTCTGGGGGATGAATGAAACATTTCCTTGTTGTTGAGATTGATGGGTCTGCTGAGGTCTGATTTGCTGTGCAGACTGGGGCCTGTTAGCAGAACAGGGATGATAATTTAGAACGGGAAATGGAAATGGGAAACTTACAACATAGTTCAGGAGTTTATTTGAGTACAGACGGACTTTCACCTACTTGAACTGATACTTGTTGGCGGTCGAACGAAAGCATTCAACAAATCAGGTCAACACGGTTAGCATTAGTCATGACTTAGGTGTGACTACAGCAAAATCATCTTTCATATAGCTCACTCATTCATTTTTTAATCCTTCAACCACCTAACGCTCTCGCTCATGGTCGCATGATCATCGATCATCGCCCATCCACCAGAAAACAAAACACGTTGATCAACTCGGAAGCATTCGGATAAATACGATGTGTGACGTTTGTGACGTGTGACAATATTTTAATAGTTCAGATTTTTTCCCCATCGATTCTCAACCGTGATCCTCTTCCATGCCTACATCAGAAATAGACGACATTTTTGCTGCCAAAGGAAAGGCGAAAGCCATAGAACTTGCTCCCCTTCCATCCCTCAAGAAGGAGAAAAAGAAGAAAAGAAAAGACAGACCCTCCACCAGCGACAAAACGAAGGAGATCAATCAATCTTCAGAATCAAAAACACTGAAAAAACGACCACTTCCCGAGACTATTGTAGATCCATCATTCAAATCTTCCAGCAGTAGTAAACGTCCAAAGTTGGATGCCCCAGTTTCTTCACAGCGTGAAAAGGTTTATCACGAGACGCTCAAAGAGGACGAAGACCGTTTCAAGGATTCGAGGGGTTCTGGACCTAGTAATTTTCATCTTGTCCTGCTATCTTAAACTCGTTAACGCCGCGCCAGGACGAAAAACTGACGATGGTTTCAACATATACAAGGAAGATGAGCTAGGTATATCCAATACCGGAGGAGGTATGTTGTGTACTTACTCCCATCAACATTCAACATTCACCCGGCCCCAGACACACCACTGTGTCCTTTCGATTGTGAATGTTGTATGTATTTGCTCGTTTTATTTATTTTTCTGGGCTTAATACTTTCCAGGTTTTTGAATGGTGGTTGTTCTATGTGTAGCTTTACATGCAAGGAGATACCCGTGTATTCACTATGATATCCGGCACAAGTCTGCGATATGGTCGGACTGCGCACAGCTTTTTCGAGTCTCAGGTCATTTTCGCTTGCGCTGTGATGACCTCCATCGTCGATTTGCATCCCCTGATGATGGATAACCACGAATGTGGTGGAAACATTTATTTACGGACTTTGCTTTAGGTCAGTGTCCTTCTCACTAAATTTATTTTTGCTCACTTTTGCCCTCGTGCAGATCTTCGTCCGTCTCTATGTCATAACTACAAATTTGACAACAGCGCCGGGGAACACAGTTATCCCGCACATATTGGTATCGGCTCTTTCGAAGCCTCCCAGTTAGCCTTCCGAGGTCATGATCTGAGGGGGTCAATGTGTAGCCAACAGTGATCGTTACATCCCTCTCTGCATTCTCCGATTCATTTGTTATCTGAGATGGCGCTTGTATTAATTTACTCGAGGGTCACATCATAATATAAAAATCATGTAGTCATTGAGGTGTCCTGTATCCTAATCGTCGTCGTCATCGAGCTCAGCCAACTGCTTTGCTTTTTCATCTTCGTTAAGTTCGCTCCCGAATGGATTGCCACCCTCAGTGACGGCTCTCCTGACGTCTTCCGCTTTTTTATTGCGTTTCTCTTCCGCTCGTTGTTGTTCAAGCTGCTTGCCGCGAAAGATAGGCCTTGCTACCAGGAACCTTCTCTGGATTCTTGCATAGCTTCAATCTTCTATCAACCTCACGAACGGCCTCCACATCAGGAGGATGTCCCATCTGCGTGATGATATACTTGATCAATCCGAGAGTAGGGTCAAGGGTTGCGGAAAATGGTTGCGCAGCACCAGCTACCACTTTCGAGTCAGCCCATCTTTCTGCGAGAACTGGCGAGGCGAGAGCCAGACTAGCGAGGGCAATTTGTGAGGGGGTGTAGATGAGTTCCGCGTCGGTAAAGCGGGAGGCCCGGACGTGTTTGATGGCGATATCATAGACATCCTGTGGTCGAAGGTCCTCGGGTACGTCGGGCAGACTCTGTAATCCGTTAGTCTTAGCGCGGAAATGATGTCACGGATATCATGGTTACCTGAAGGTCGAGCCAAATGCCCCAGAGAGCGCGATGGGCATGCCAAACTGCAAACTCGAAATTCAAGCTCTGAGATACCAGGAACTCGAGGTCAAGAACGTCTGAGCTGGACGTTTTCGGGATGTTAGAAGTGTAAGACTCCAATGAAATTGGGTTGTTGGTGGTCTTTGTGGCAAGAAACAGTGCGGTGAGCCTTCAAAGAGCATCAAGTCATTAGAGACACCAGTAGTACAACACGCGAACGCACATCACATTCTTTGGATGCCAGTCCATCACAGTGTTTTTAAGATAGAACCGCTTCAAGTAACTGATGGCGGTCGCCTCCACTTCCTCAGGAAAACGAAAATGGCCACATAGCTGAGGGATCTTGGTGATGTAGAGTTTCACGAGGAGCTGCTCGTCATTTGCATTGAGGAACAACACATCCTCGGACGATCCAGGCTATAACGAATTAATTCGACAGGCATTGAAACGACAGAAAGTGGGTTTCGCACCTCATCTGCCTCAAAAGTGTTCCGTATGGCCGCTACTGCAGCAGCATTGAGGGAAGTGCGAACTTGTTCCAGTTGTTCTGGGGAATATCTCCAGCTCTTGTACTGCGTGCTTCCCTCGTACAACGGTCTCTTCACAGTCCGATGAGTTGATCTGGGGGTCGGCTGCCTTAGCTGCGTTGTCAGCCTGCCATGCCGTTAGGTCTAACGTATGATACACTTTCAAGTTGTAGGTGGGTTTTCCTCATGAGCTGGGTTCAGTGCACAACATTGTTGTTTGTTATTCAATCACGGTTTGCCAGTGGTCACTTATCCTTGCTACTCTTAATTGTCTACATCTATCACTGAAATGGATCTGGTATCGTCTAACCATGCTGCGATGCTGCGAGACGGAAAAGGCGAAAATGCTGCTGGATTTGTTCAAAACTCGACCATGCAACAATCTCAAAGCCTGGCCGCAGTCATTGCTCGCATTGTTGTAAATTAATGCTACCGTATCGTAAATCAATTCCTTCCTATCGCAGAAATCTCAGCTCACGTTGAATGACTTAATCAAACTAACTGTGATGCATGTCTGCCAGATTGCTTGCATGATGCAGCCTACCTCTAGCGATGGTGAAGTGCCCTTCGGCAATAATGGCTCGGAGGACCTCAACTCCGACGTCGTCCCCAATCTACGCCTCGACCCTGACCCACGGCCCCAGCTCGATATCTACAGTGACGACCTCCCTCATGAAGCTCGTGGACTTCCCTACCCCCCGATGCCACTGCATCATGGTATGGATCGTCCTGAGATCTACCAAGACTTTCGCGATCCAAAGCCAGATGCAGATCCCATCCCACCATCACCTCTCCCCCTCGTGCAGCCAAACCTCGGTGACTACCGCCCAAGTTTCTCCCTGCCAGTCGTATCCACGGGTGGTACCTTCAAGCTACCATCCACAGCAGAGGACCGACCGACCATGACCATGACAGCGCAGACCTCCCAGGCTGGTCCAAGTAGCATGGTGAAGAGGTCTGCCCACGTCAACGTCACGGTAGGTTTTCCCATACCAATGCATTCCTCCGCCTCGTGAACTTAGCAGACACCTACAGGAACGTGCATCCAAGAAAGATCTCAAGCAAGTGAAACAGTATCTGGAGAACATAGACCCAGATAATGTTGAAAAGTTGTATAGAAATGGGGAGGTACACCCCTTGGCATGGTGACGGAAAGTCGCAGTCCAAAACGGACATCACCGTTCCAGACGAAGTCGATGTGTACGAGCGGAAAACCGCCAACGTATATCACGATCGTCGCGCGGAAAGGGAGGACAGAGGCGTATGTGACATACGAGTCGTCTAGTTGCACTGAGAGTACCAAGACTATCATCGACTGAGATGATCAAAGCTATTAAGGTCTAGTAGGGTGCTCCAACTTCATCACAAATGTCGCAGCTAACATTGACAGAACAAGGATGGTGAAGCAATAACGCGATATGACGAATGCTAAGACCGAATCGATCAGTTAGGGTATGCTATTTTCGTGCTGTACAGAATCTTGCCGCGTACTATCTACATTCATGTTCTTTCCTTCTTCCCCATCTTGGACATCTTCGGATAACTGTTTCTCGAAGATGTTCGATCGAAACACTGGCTTTTCCGTGGAGCTGCGGTAGACGTTTGGACCGATAATCAATGCAGCGCTCCGACCATCCTGCTTGACCGCATTTAATCGCCAATATGTCTCACGTATCCACTCGGCATGATCGACCAAAGAAGTCCAGCCGCCCGTGATGATCTCATGGAACTTGAGATAACACGGTGCATGCGCGAACAACATCGCGCGACCAAGATTACAGTCACCATATCTATCATGGTTCTCCTGCGCAAAACATACACCAAAGTGCTGGCGGAGGTAATACCGCTTGATCATGACGCTTGCTCGAATGGTCAGATCTACTTGATCGTTTGGGCCCCGGAAGACATTCGGCCACTTGGAAGTGTCACCGAACGAAGTCCAGTCATGCGGGACAGCGTTTCAACCCTCATCGGGGATCCCCGGTCTCTCACATTGAAGGATCCTCTCGTTGGTCTGGGGTCGACTGCCTTGGCTGCGTTGTCAGCCGCCATGCCGTTAGGTCTAACGATGCGCCATGTTCGTAAGTGGGTTTCTTCATGAGCTGGGGTCTGCACGACATTGTTATTTGTTATTCAACCACGGTTTTCTAGTGGTCACTTATACTTGACATTACTCTTACTTGTCTACATCCATCACTGAGATGGATCTAGTATCGTCTACCTGTCTGCAGTTAGCTGCGATGCTGCGGGACGGAAGATACGAAAATGCTGCTGGATTTGTTCAAAACTCGTCCATGCAACATTCTCACATTGATCGTTCTAGTCCTCCGAGGATTCAGACTGTCATCTTTAGTACACGTCTTAGCTGTTCCATTGTTTCTTCGTTTCTTTTTGGAGCTACTTGTCACTTTCTGGGTGCTTTGTTTCTGCTCAGGACCTTTTAAGGAGTGCAATTGATACTCCTCTGACGATGGACTCCCTTTGTATCGCCGCGGCATTGAGCCACTCCCTTTCTTCACCTTGCTTCAGTGCGACTTGTTCCTCTACATATTAAAGCAGGTCTGTACCTTTCATTCCAGCAGCCATTCACTAACTCCTCACTCTTGATCTACCCTCTTCCCTCCCGAATTTGCTAAGTCATTGCTACTGTGACGTGGCAGAACTTACAGCATTGAAATGGGCAGCGCTAGTACTGTTGAGGCCGGTGCCGAAGCTGATGCATCATGCATGCCCAACTCCAATTCACCCACTCGTCACTCTCGATCTATTCTTTTCCGTTTCGAACTCGCTGAGTTCGCTACACGACTCGTGGCAGACTTGGTATTACATCATTGAAATGGGCAGCGCTACCTAGTTGTGGTTGGGGTGATGGTTTATGCATGCCCCAACCCCAACTGGGTACGAGTTTCTCCTTCTGTTCTTAATGCTCAACGAGGATCTCGTAATTATCAAACGAGGAACACCATAGACCAGGATACCGCGAAACCACAGCCGCAAAAGGGTGAGGGGTAGGATACCAAGGTGAGTCCCCGACACTCACTTTAGTGGGAGTGGATTTTGGCAATGAATTTGTCCGGTTGTACGCTAAAGTGCTTACGTCCTAGACGGGGGGTCCATGGTGTTCCTGTTGCGCTCACTGGTGTTAGACTCTCCTCATGCGTGGTATTCTGACACTTCTCTGATTGTAGGCTACAGCTGTCAGTTGGCTGTGCTTCTGCTATTGCTGATTGTTCTCTATTCAGATAGCCTGTGTCCACATTTCTTTCCAAATGTCCTCCTTGAGTATCTCGTGTAATCTTGCCTGCCGCTAAGCTCTGTCATCTGATTCGAATCATAATTGCTTTAGTATATTATGAGCCTCTGCCACCCTCAGCATCGTGCTTCTGTCTTTGCCACCTCTGAAAATTTCTGTCTCTGGCAGTGCTGAAACACATTGAACTCTCAAGCTACTTCTTGCTGTGGCGAGCATGGCCGAGTCCCGCCGTGCGCTCGCGATGATTGGTCGTAGATTGCTGAACAGCGAACACGATGTTACATGTGTACTATAAGGGTCTGGTGCCTTGTATTCCGTTTTTACTTGTAGGGTGCGCTGAAACCGTAAAGGTAGAACTCATCAAAATTTGATCAAACTAATAAATTGTCTGTCATAAGTAGGTGTCAGGGACAGTCTGGTGCGGCAGAGCGCCGTTTACTACGATATGATACGCATATGAATGCGGAATAATGGAACCATCATTGGGGTCCATACCCTTGACTCGATACGTAGCTTTTCAAGAAGCCTCTCTACCACCCTCACTACAAAGGTCAGAAGCTATATCTGGCAGGATCCTGACACAGGATCTGCTAAGACTCAACAGCCCACCATTAAACTTTTGTGCAACACGCAGTGATATACTAGTATCCTTCCCCCGTTGAGATCAAAGGCAGGAATATATCATGCATTTATTGTAATGAGAGTAAGTATACTATGATGACACTATAGCCTGTACCAAAATGGCAGTACATAGTATGAACCTATTTCGGCTTCAGGACCGTTCATGCTATGTGGAAGGTACGTTAGAGACGGGCTGGTCACCAGTGTAAGGCACTGTCCCATTCACATGGGCGCAACCCATTTGACAACCCGGCCTATATAAGTACATCTTCAGATTGCCAGATATATCGCTAAGAATCGTCCAACATAATGTCTGCCCACGTCAACGTAGGTTTTCCCATACCAATACATCCCTCCCCCTCGTTAACTTAGTAGACACCTACAGGAAAGTGTATCCAAGAAAGATCTCAAGCAAGTGAAACAGTATCTGGAGAACATAGATCCGGAGAATGTTGAAAAGGCGTATGGAATGGGGAAGTACACCTCTTGGCACGGTGACGGAAAGTCGCAGTCCAAAACGGACATCACCTTCCAGACGAAGTCGATGTGTACGAGTGGAAAACCGCCAACGTATGTCACGATCGTCGCGCGGAAAGGGAGGACAGAGGCGTATGTGACATACGAGTCGTCTAGTTGGACTGAGAGTACCAAGACTATCATCGATGAGATGATCAAAGCTATCAAGGTCTGGTAAGGTGCTCCAACTTCATCGCAAATGTCGCAGCTAACATTGACAGAACAAGGATGGTGAAGCAATAACGCGATATGACGAATGCTAAGACCGAATCGATCAATTAGGGTGTATGATATTTTCGGGCTATACAGAGTCTTGCCACGTACTATCTACTTTCGTGTCCTTTCCTTCTTCCCCATCTTGGACATCTTCGGATAACTGTTTCTCGAAGATGTTCAAGTCAAACACAGACTTTTCCGTGGAGCTGCGATAAACGTTTGGACCAACAATCAATGCAGTGCTCCGACCATCCTGCTTGACCGCATTTAATCGCCAATATGTCTCACGTATCCACTCGGCATGATCGACCAAAGAAGTCCAGCCCCCGTGATGATCTCATGGAACTTGAGATAATACGGCGCATGCGCGAACAACATCGCGCGACCAAGATTATAGTCACCATATCTATCATGGTTCTCCTGCGCAAAACATACACCAAAGTGCTGGCGGAGGTAATACCGTTTGATCATGACGCTCGCTCGAATGGTCAGATCTACTTGATCGTTTGGGCCCCGGAAGACATTCGGCCACTTGGAAGTGTCTCCGAACGAAGTCCAGTCATGCGGGACAGCGTTCCAACCCTCGCCGGGGATCCCCGGTCTCTCACAGGGATCCTCTCCGGTCGAATTCAAGTCGTCTGGAAACTTTGGCGGTGAGCATAAGGGGGAGAATCTGTGCGCCGCCCCAGTCTATGAGCCCTACGATCTTCGTGTCGTCAATTGGGTCAAAAAATATGTTACGGAGTGCGAGGTCGGGATGGTATAAGGCCAAGGGGAGGTAAGGCGATGGAGGGACGAAATGAGGTATGAGCGAGGAAAGAAGTTGAAATAGTTCTGAAAATTTTTGAGGGGTGCATTTGGGCTCCGAGAAGTGATCGAGAAAGCTGCTCCTGTTTCAAGCCTTGACCATTCCCTCAGAGCATGCAAGATTCTCATGCTCCAACCGGGCCCTCCAGAGATCCATGAGGGATTGATATGGTCCCCCAAGGTTATTCTGCGTGATAGTGAAGAGTGGTCCCATGATAAAGCCTCCTTCATCATTGAAGGTAATGCTGCCGATCTCATCAAACGGTACGGGTGCCGACAAAGTAGTTTGTAGTTTTGCCAGAGCTTTGGTGACGGCTAGTTGCTGTACTTCTGACATACCATCCAGACCACGAAGCTTGTTGTCATCGTTGGTGAGATTGTCAAGCTTTCGTCCGTGGACAACGTCCATGAGAACATACGGCGCACCAGCTGGATTAGAAAATGTAACGTCCCAAGCGTGGACTTGTGGGACCTGGATACCTGGATACGAGCCAGGACGCACGAACAAACTGCATGGTGGCTATCTCAGACAGCTTTGCCTGGGGATTAAAGTCCTCGTCATCATACGCTGACACGCTAGCGGCGATCTCGGTGTCGTCGGCGAAGACTAGTCTGTAGACGGTATTGTAGCTACCCCTTCCGAGAAGTTGGATGGATTGGCAAGTAGGTTTCGAAAGACGTTTCGTAGCACAATCAACGAGTCCAGAGAGGTTGACCCATCGTGATTTGCGAAGTGTGGAAATTTGCAGCTCAAGGTCTTTGGACATTGACATGACTTGCAACGCGCCATGGAGATGGTCATGATTAGTTATGTTAAAATGTTCTGTGCATCCTCGCCCTACCTGATTAATTCCTAGTTTGCAAGGTCATATTTCAAGGGAAGAAATGTGACGGTATGACTCTTAAGTTATAGTGGAGGAGGGCTTTGTTGGAATTTATCACAAGGTTTTCCCACAGACCGGCATCTACCTTGCACTTAGCCTGATTCGTTCAAATCTGTTCGTTGGAATTTTGTCTGCTTTTCAACATTGCGACTTCAGAATAAAAGCAGAGCTCTCAGAGGATCGTCGCACCACTTACACGCACCACTGACCAACTATCTCACCAATAAGTATGTCAAGCGTCACATAAACTAAACAGCCGACAGTCTCGACCAGACAATCACGTCCTCCTGTCCGACGCATGCGCTGATACCTTGTCATTTCACCGAATTGTGTCACCTGTAGTACAGCACATCCCTAGGCGCATTCTTTAGATGGAGCCCCAATTCATCGTGCCAACGCGACCATGCCTCACTCTTCTGACTGGAGCCTATTTGATAGGTCTTTCCGTCCTTATTCGACGCACGAATCAGCGCTGACCTTGCGACGGGCCTCGGTATACGTGGTATACCACCGTCTCGAACTGTTTATGTGTCAGAAACCGTAATGCAATACCGGATGCTCGATATTTCATGCATTATCGGACGGATGGGCATCTCTGGTATGTTGAAAGGTGTGTAGATCAGCAAGCGAGTTGCGTGCCCTATACTTATTGAGAGGTCCGGAAGCAGGAGCTATTCTAGTATAGAGTGATCACGATGTCCGCGTGCTACTAAACTAGGGTGGATGGATGGCAATTCCGGCCGCCATACAATACATCATACATTTCGTGACGAACTTGATGATGTTTCGATTGAAGGACAGGGATGTACAAACCCACTCGCTGTCCACAACGAGTTCGCGCGCGGAATCGCCCCGAACCCATCTGTTGTCGGCCCAGACTCGCAAGGAAATCCGCATGTGGGCGGTGCCCTTCTGTGATCTGCCATTGAGATGAATCTAGTATAATATGTCTTGTTCGCAGTCAGCTGCGAGTGCTGCGGGAAGGAAAATGTAATGCCGTTGTTTGGTCTCTCAGTTCAAAACTCGAGCATACAACAATTTCGCATTTGTTGTCCCAGTTCCAAGTGACGTCTACATTCAATACTTAGATGGATCTGGTATCGTCCACCTGTTTGCGGTCAGGTGTGATGCATATGCCGCGGGACAGAAAATAGGGTGCTCCTGCCTGGGACTGAACACCAGTGCATACAGCGATATCACAGTCCCAGTTCTCCAACTTGGGTTTAGAATGCCGCCCAGCGTCCTAGCCGTTCCGTTGTCATCTCGCTTCTTTTTGGAACTACTTATTCCTTTCTGGACGTTTTGTTTCTGCTCGGGACCTTTGTAAGGAGTTCTCTTTTGAGATGAACTTGCCTTTGTACGGCATTGAATATTGAGCCACTCCCTTTCTTCGCCTTGCTTTGTGACTTGACCGAGTCCCTCTACATATAAAACCAGGTCTGTACTTGTCAAATTTCCATCACCACTGAGCAGGAAATAGACCCTCATTCACTCATTCATCACTTCCCGAAGTTCTCGCTACACGACTCGTGGCAGACTTACGTCGTTGAAATGGACAGCGCTACCTACTAGTAGTTGATGGACTGCATCATGCGTAAGCTTCGGAGGCCATTCCCAACTAGGCACGCCTTCTATTCTTAATGCATACTCGATAAGGATCTTTGTATTTATCAGATCCGGGGGCATACGGGTGCGCACAACACTTCAGCCAAATCGTTTTTACTATCATCAGATAACTGGCTCTGGGCCTTCTTTCCACCGGTCTTCAGTTGTCTGGCGATGGTAAAATTTCGCAGGTTTATGAAAGAACGGGGTCCAAACGTCAGTGTGCTATTGTGACTACACTGACTCATGTGACTATCTTTATTCTATCAGGATCCGAACTAGTCCCTATTACAAGGATGTGATGATGCGGTGAGATACGATACTCTGCTGGCAACACTCATGTAAGTAATGCAGCCTGAGCTGTGAGCGCACTGAGTGTATCGTGGCCCGTTGGCTCTTCTGCAAATGGGCCACAATACACTAAGATACGCGTACCAGGGCTTCCGCACATCACACGCGCACGCCTGAGAGATCCACATGACCATACAGCCATGTCAAGTGGAGGTATGGCCGCAGTACTCTTGACATTGACAGTGTAATGACTGAAGCCAGGAACCATCGCTTGCTTTTGTAGTTCCGCAGCTATCGCTTACATCCAGGCTCTGAGTCCTCATGTTCCGAGTCATGTTGTGACGGCTGTGCGAAGGTACCGTCGGGCCGTCCACCGCAGGGGTATCTCCCGCGAACGTATTCCTCGGACATACATTTTTGCAAATAGGCGTAGCACCACAGGTACAGGAGAACTGTATTATTAGGTATGATAGTGGTAATCTGAACCTAAAGGTCAGACATAACTCCTAGGAGAACATATAGCCTGACCGGAAGGACTAGTGCGCTCTCATTCTTGACAGGACCGCAGCACCTCGTTTATCATGTCTAGTACACCGGAGGAGAGGTCTCAGCTCAGGTGGGGTGACGTCACACGTCAATGTGTACATATAGATCTTGAATTAGTTATGTAAGTTATCCTGTCAGATAAACTTTCAATAAAGGCTGCCCAAGGTTAGTCTCTGATATGGAAGTCGGTATCTTTCTATAACAGGCGCGCACGGTACCGATGCCATTGGGCGCAAGGCGTAATGAGGAATCTATTCGAGAGGCGGGTACTGCGCGATTGCTAGAAAGAGTTGTTATCTTCCTCATCTTCGGGAATGTTATCTTTCAACCACTGATTTATCCATTCAACGATGTTTGCCACATTCTTTTCCAGGTCCTGAGAAGATTCGCTTTTGAGATCAACAATAATCTGTTGGGGGTAGGAGTCTCGGGCTTCTTGGAGGACGACTTCCATTATCTCCGCTTCATTGTTTTCCTGTATCTTTTTAAGAGAGTAATTACTGCGATCGCATCAGATCTGGACTGATTTCGATTGTAGTAGGGGGTACGCACCGTTTTTCGAGACGTTCCCAGAGCAGGGTATGATTGCAGCGTAGAACGACGACTAGATCTGCCCATCGTTCAGGGAAAATTTCACAAGTGTGCCAGTCGAGAATTATTCCGCCGGCAGATGCCAATGGTTCAAGTTCGTCTAAGAGCTAATATTGACTAATGAGATATGGAAGTAGATGATGGATGTCCGCGGACCTTGTCTTCGTCTACTGTGTAAGTTTGCCATTGTTCATCAAACCCGTGATGAAAGCCATTGTCTTTTACTAATTCACCGACGTTGATGTGTTTTAAAGGGACTGGGGAGGCATCTTGTAGGAGTTGAGCATGAGTTGACTTTCCAGTACCTGGAGTTCCAGTGATGATGATAACGGGGTAACGTTGTAGCATATTGAGTACTGGTCGCGTGAATTATGTAAGAAAGGACGGAAATTTAATCCGAGGGTTGGATACTAAATTGAGAGCGGTGATCGGATTAATGCTGTCATTTGCATTTTGAGCGGACGACCGTCATCAATCCAATCTACACTTTTTGAGAAGCTTCCGTTCGCTTGACTAGTAAACTTGCTAACTCTCCTCATGTACTCTTTCAAGTACTATGGACGGTTCTCCCCCAACCCGTACATACTATTCACCACCATCCCCTATCATCATACAACTCAATACAATCATCACAATATCCGCCTCAGGTCTACCAACTAAGGGCTCCGTTTACCATTTATTTGGCGATGGCACCCTCATCGCACCCCCATTCTTCAACGACCTTTCCACTACTTACCTTGCTCTCGTCATCATGGCATCCCTCCTCACCGTATTCGCTAGGAATACAACACTCTCAGCCGCATTCTTATGGTCAGGTAGAGTTCGCAAGAAGAGTCTCTTGTACACTCTATTCCTTAGTCAACTTCTCGCACCTGTCTCCATCTTGTCCTTGCTTATCGCCCAATTTAACCCCAATTTCGATTGCAAACTGTTTGTCAATCCTATATCTTTTCAAATGTTAACTCCCAACTGATTTTATTACGTAATCAGCATCATGCGCATTGTGGTCGCTAGTACAGGAATATCTTTATCTTTATTGGTACGCTCCGTAACTCATATTCATTATCCCTTCACAACTAACTTCTCTACATAGATATCCGGTATCCTGGGCGTAAAGGCCTACCGGTGTCTAGACAACTCTCGCTTAGTTCTAGTCGTCTTGGTTGCGCTCAGGACTGCTGCAATTGTTCTTCTCGCTCTAGATCTTGCATCACTTGACAGTTATCGCAGTCTTGCAGGTGCTTCTTTTGACTTTTCCTCATCCCACTTTCATCTACTAAATAACAAAAACAGGCCGCTGCTATCGACCATCTAATGCCATCACATATGCTTTCATAATACTTTTATTCATCGAATCGCTATTCGTTTGTCTTTGCTGTGAGTTCAAACTTATTATATTACCCTAACGAGACTCATCATTACAGTTCTTTATGCTGTTTGGAAATCACATAGTTCCGCCGCCGTCCGAGGCAGAATTAACGTATCACTCTCTCTTGACGATGTCGCAGATCCCCATCTAGACACCCGAAAAAAAGAGAGCATCGAGAGTCACAAGACCACTCACAGTCGCCGCGGCTGGTGGGATTACGTTCCTACTGTAGATAATCCTCCATTTTCCCCAAGATCTCGTAGAACTCGGTCTCTCTCTCATGACCCGAGCATTCCCATGGGCGGTCTTTCCAAGTTTCGTACCGGTGAAAGATTGCGTGATCCGGAGAATGTCCCCTCTAGACCGCCCATCCCCTCGCTGCCTACAGAATCCCCTCTCACTCGCACATCCACAATCCGCGTCTCCACCACACTTCCAAATATTTGCAATGACGTCCCAATCCCTCGTCGGTCCTCTTCTCCTGCCATCTCGTCCATAAGTCGCATAAGTCGATATATGCCTCGAGTAGCGTTGTTTGGAGAAGTGATGAGAGATGAAGTAAGCTCGTCTTTGTGGTTAATCTTTTCCAACCTTACGTGCTTATCCAGTTATTCTATACCACCTTCATCACCGTTTCCACCGTCGTTTCGGTCATAATGACTATAGTCGGTGTTAACAGCTCGGACTCAGCCGATCACGTAGCTTGGATGGCCTTTGACTGTGAGTTAGCCCCACTCAACCCACATCCAGTGTTATGAAAACTCACACTGATGCAGGGGCCTTGATCTCGTGTCTTGTGATCCACAGTTTCAGTCGTGTCATCCGCCGCCACGAAAACGAAGCCCTTTTACAGCAGCCTAGCGCTTGGCATCATAATTTGCGTACAGACCGCAGTACCGCGGAACTTTTGACGGAAGGGAGGGTAAGAGCTCCTAGGTCTTCATTTGGACGCTCATTCCAAGTGCGCACCCGGCGTCCGACGAGTCGTCGGTACGATGCCGATGCTCTACGCGACCCCTCCACAACCTCCCGTTCCCTACGAGGAGATCCTCATTCCAACGCGTTATCTCGCCACCAAGAAGAAACCCGCCCTAATACCGTCCTACCCACCCATCCATCCACGCCCGAAGTCGATTCTTTCCCCGATGACCTTTCATCTTGTCGTAGAAGCGGTACGAAACTCACGGAGAGGGTTTTCTTGGGGCACCAGTATAATGATAGTTTACCTAGTTTATCACCACGTCCTGACCTGGACAATCAACCTTCATTGCAAGCTAGTCATATTGTAACATAGACATTGCATTTCCAATTCACTTGCACTGCTACTGAGCTGAGCTGATGAAGTCATCGGCAGTCGTCATGCCGCAGAAAGACACAAGTCTAGACCATGATGCACGTGTCGTTACTTCGGGTTACCAGACGTGATACTGAGAAGTCAGCAATACGGAGATGAGAGAGAGAGAATTTCTTTATTTATATACCGCTCTGAAGACGCGGTGCCTTGTGGCCTATCCTGGGGGTTAATGTACTGAATATAAATTAAGGGATAATACGAATTCTAGCCAAAGGAGTCCGCGTTTCAGTGGTGACGTTGTTGGTTTGCGCATGGGTGTCGATACCCGCAATACGGAGATGAGGAGCGCGCATACTACTTATTGCAGTTATATATCAGGAAATGATGCTTAGGCGCTTGTAGTAGGCGCTTGTACATGCGAAAGGAAAGTGATACGTACATGTTTCCAAGACGCGCGCCTATCAGACGAATCATGATCGTGACCGTCCCTTAAAGTTAAGGCCTAATAATAAAAACTCCCACGATCAGTCTATCAAAGCTCAGGGTTTGCAATGGACGACGACGAGCTCATCAGCGTGCTGCCTATCCACTATTCAAACAGTCTCAGTCCAAACGTGCACATCCATCAATTTCCGCTTCTTTCTCGTCCATTGCAAACACCACCTGCTGCTGCAGTCAGCGGAAAACGAATTCGCGCACGAATAAAGCCAATCACGCGGAGATTAGAGATCCATGTACCAGTGGATCCGCGCCCAGAGGTGTGGAATGGTGAACGGAGCAAAGAGCTTGGTGCTGCTCGACAAGAGGATGACCGTGAAAAAAATCAGGATGTTGGGAAGATGAAGCAGATGGAAGGGGAGGACCCGCGGTTGGCCGAAGCGCGCATGCGGAGCGAACTGATACCGCAGGAGGGCGCGTATATGTTGGGAGTGGTTCGTAATGGTCCGTGATACATCACCGTCTGTGGCGATGCCGTTCGGTCTCATCTAGTGTGCGAAGGTCAATTACATCTGCAACCCATCGGCGAAACTCATCAGTTTCGACCGACGCTGACGTACTTGGATATCATGTCTCGAAAGAGTCGACGTTCGAGAGGCGATACTGGCTCTGATGATGATTCTGACGACGGTCCTCCGCCTGATCCTGATGAGCCGCCGCCAGTACAAACTACATCAAAGAAAGAAAAAAAAACCGCTTGAAGTGAAAGAGGTTCAAGTGTCTGCGCGAAAAGCTGCGGATGATAAGGGTAATTTGCAAGGAGGTCTATCTGCCGTGCGACGTGAAATGCTGCTTGCCATCCGAGCTGAAGAAGACGAAGTCTGGGAAGACCTAGACTTTTGTGACGGAGAAGTACTCTTTTCTTCTTTCTTTTTTGGTGGATGCTGATTACTTGGTGTAGACTGCTGAAGGACACGAAGCATTTGAAGCCGTATTTTCGCAAAATGAGGAGCATTTAGAATGCAAGTCTGATATTACTGCTTTTCTAAAGGGCATTAAAGGACTATAGATATTTATGGTGAACGCATGGTCACGGTAGCTATCGAAGATGGTGGTCATGCTTCTGACTTCGATGCAACTTTATTCTGTGCCACTCAGTGCAAATATAATAATACAAGAGCGACGACGACGGTTTGCTTTCATGCCCCTCCACCTTGTATCTCATGTCCGATAGTGAGACTGAGCCAGAGTCTGACGTTCCTTTTTCACCTGAGAAAGCATGCCCATTGGACCATGCCGATGATTCCACCACTAGTACGCTGAGCGATAGTGTCGCTCAGCTAGTGAACACGCCCCAAACCCATTCCTCAGATCCAATCAGCGCCGTGAATTCATCTGTCATGATATTAGAGTCTTTGGATTTCAGTCTTATTCGCAAGGTTGTATCTTTCTCGAAACCAATGAATACTAACATCGTACTCAAACGTGCACAGGACGCGTCTTTGCATGGAACCATTCAGGAGTCATCGACCTCACTCTTAGAGTTCTTGCATGTCGTACTTTCGACGAATCCAACCGCCGCTCATGATGTGCGCCGCATGATGGAATGCCTCGCTCACTTACGTAGGTGAATTCATGACTCTCGTTTACCTCTGCTCATGAGGTGCTTATTCTCCAGTTCGACCGTCCTTCCTAAATCTGCTGTTCCAATACCGGCGTCTGTTCCACGCTCTAGCCGTTCAAGAGCTCACAAAAGTCGCAGTCATTCCCATCATTATATCTTGGGTGGACGCTGTCCTTGCAAGACTCGGGGATGTGGTTTCATGTGTTGCGAGCGCCATGCATGATCGCTACTTCGACGATGAGCTTCCTGAAGCTTTGAAAAAACGAAGAGAGGAAGATAATCTACGGGCTGCGGCTCAGCTCCCAGGTAGTCAGCGATCTTGTTAGATGTCAGTCTTATTGATGTTGCTTAGATAGGTGGGATTCCGTCCCGTCGATCCTGATGTCCGAAAAGGCTTCACCTGCCGCAAAGCGCTTAGCCCTTCGCCTGTTGGTCTCGCGATATGTATTGCAACCCCAGTTGGCTCTTCATCCAAGGGTCGTCGATACACCACTGGACGACAGGTGAGTGTGCATTTGACTCTTCTGATCTCGCCAGACCTGATCGTGTCAACAGTATGGTATCACTGCTTCCCTATCTCACAGACTTTATGCAGCACACTGTGGTGCAACTCTCAGAGTGCTCCCCGCTACACGCGCAACACCAATATATGTTTCAGGAGCGCATGAATTGCGCGATGCTGCTCTCACTATTCTCTGTTCGTATTTCTCATTCTGCAGCTCGAAACGATGACAATTAATGCATCACAGCTCGTGGACTTTACGACGAGTACAAAAGATACGGAAACAGACGTTCCGTTTCGACCTTACACGCTAGCGACAGTGATGAGACTGCTACGTTTTGTGATGCTTGTCGACAATACGCTCTCAGCGCAAACTGTCGTATCGCCTTGCCAAGACCTCGATGCCCCGCGGGTCGTTCTTATTTTATGGAGGCATTTCGTACCTTGGACCTGGCGACTACTCACGGAATGTAACGCGTCTGATTCGGAGACCATCATCTTTCTGGTTAGGACTCCCTCTTCTTCTCCGAAGGACCTCCATTGATAAGAATAGACGACTACATGGCTTCACTGCGCTTTCGACTCGGACCCTCAAACTACCATATCTACGCTGGCGACCCTTACTGGTGACGAACACGGCAAATATATGATTTGTGCATATCTTGTGAGTAGTATGCAGGCTGGCTGTCTAATGCTCTGATCGCTTTGGCTGCAGGCCTATTTTTCTCGACTTTTGGTGTATCTTTCTTCAGCTCCGCGTCCTCGAAATCTCACCACAACTCAAACGGATGTTCTACTAAAGATCTGCCGGTACTTCGTTCATTGGAGCGATTCGGATTTGCTAGGCATTCGCAAGTCTAGTGATTGCTGTAGATACCTCACTCTTCTCTTCGTTTATCTTTCGTGCGTTGACAACGGACACGATGGCGAGTCGAACTCTTCCTGCGTTAAAATCGTTGCTCAGCCTTGTGATTGACGTCAGCTAGCGACTACGTTACACACGCCATGGCTAGAATGCAGCCCAGAAGTTTGAGGGACGGTTGGAAGCAGGCGATACAGGAATTACCGACGTTTTGTGATGAGCTAGAGAAAAGTAGGTTTATATTTTGTAAATTGTCAAATAATAATACGTTTGCATCAGGCATGTCCAATACTCGGATGCAAGCATTTTCCCAACTGGAATACTTCTGGCTCACTTACGTTTTCATAGGCAGCTACTCGAGGACAAGCCTGACAAGAATCATATTCGCAGAGCGAAACAATTCCTTGACTTTTTGACGATCACATGTTTTTCAAATGTCCAGATCTCAGACCAGAAGTTAATGATCGAGTTCCTCGAGGCCACGATGAAATCTTTGCGTCGTGAATCCGCAGAAAAGCAACTGCAGGACTTGTCCACGAGTTTCCTCTCGTGTTTAACGGCATTCCAGCGTGGAAAACCGGGAATTAGGGTCTGTGATGCTCCTTTATTGTCGGATGTCGAAAGTATCTGGCAAGTCGCTATGGACAACACCGCTACTGGTTAGCCCTAGCTTGTGAGCGTCGAATTGAGATTGCATCGCAAAGTTCTCACATCTGCTCCGTAGCTGCATTTGCTTTGCATATCATCTTATCTCGCCGACTGCCCGACTCACTTACCCAATCAGAGGCCTGGGATTACCTACGAAATGTTCTCCTGATGATCGGGTCGCAAGATTATTTTGGAGACGAAAGCCCCCTTGCGCTTATTGTCAATCCGACAATATGCGATGCTCTCTCACAGTTGCTGAGGCATGCAGACGAACATACCGGTGCGCACGTACCTCAATATGCTGCCCTGAAATCCCTCATCGATAAATGCGGTCCTTAGTCCGTGGTGATGCAGTCTTCTCCGTGGACGTCGCACCTTCAATCAGTGCTGCAGCGAATTCAACATTCAGACGATTGTCCCGACTTGGATGGCTACTCATCGTGGCTGAAGAAGAAGATTTCAAAGCCTGCGGCAGATTTAATGAAGCAGGTAGGGTCTTGGACCTGACGTAGAAGTAAAGCTAAACAATGAAGATAGATTGCACGAACGTCGGACGCAGGGGAGTTGCGTCAAGTGAGATTCCGACTTTCCCTTCTCAAGCTACGTCATATAACATAGGTTCAGGCTACACCGGCGATTGACATAATACCGTGTCGCATCGACGGTCTGTTTCAACTTGTATGTGTACTTCGTGGTCAGTTATTCAGACTTTATCAGAGAATTGTTCCTAACACTGCAGTATTAGCGACTTAGAGCTGGGCTGGAGTTCTAGGCCTAGATTCCACCGTAGTAGGAGTTATCCTCGCTCAATGGGCACTTTTATGGTAGTCTCGAGGCACCTGGAGCGCACTCGCAAACACAAATCAATCTGCGCCGTCATTGCTGCCAGGTGAGCGGCGCTGATAATAAGGACACGCATCATCTTTATTGCAACGTTGGATAGGGGTTCCCTGGCCAGGCTTGACGGGTGTCACCGAACATTATGACAGGTTGCGATCACCTGAAGGGCACGCATGACCATTACATCACCTTGACCTGGACTAGTCCGCTCATATACACTGAACGTATATGGTAAGAATCTACGCCCTCCCAGATGCGCCCACATTTTGCGCGAATAAGGTGCATACATCGTTGTACCTGAGGCCTGATGATCGCAAGTTCTTTCTAGGACAAAGGTAAGCGCGTGACACAAGGCACCTTTGAGGAAGGTATCCGGGGGATTTCAAATTCTGTCAGCTTCCATGCCCCATACAAGACATCCTCGAGCACAGTAAATGGGTCGAACGCGAGAGGAAACCACCATCGGACAGACGGACAGACGGAACGCCGGACTTTCAAAAGTTCCGGTTTCTTGAAATCCGGGGAGGTCGGAAGCGAATGAACAACTTGTTGGAAAACTCGTCTATGGAAGTCAAGTTTGATGCAGTGTACTGGCTTCATTTCTTCAACTTCATTGGTTGACAGTAATGATTGATAATCCACTGAACCGAGGAGGAACATATTTCCATTCATAACGCATCCACCTGTCCATGTACAACGGAGCTAGCCACATCTCGTATCTTACTGTACAGAGTACTTGCTATTTAAAATGGTACCCGCAGGTAAGACGGTGATGTTTGGAATTTATTAGTGTTCGAATTTGATTCTAAGGGTCTGGCTCCACGTTATATAAGCTGATATGGTGTATGTCATTTGATTGCGCGACGCGGAACGTCAAGGAGTCTCTTTCCATTCTACCACTTCTACCACCTTCCATTGTTTATTTGGGTCTCGTCACCGCCAGCATCGACGAAGAGGTCCCATCCAATCTTTCTTACCTTCAAGGTTCATGTCGTCTCCGTCAACATTTAATTATCATCGACGATCTCTCTCCACTTCCTCACCCTCGCCCTCGCCCGTTCCAAAAACTCTATGGCGTCCAGCAAGCAAACGAGCTCGCTCATCGTGCAATAGCCCCGCCCTTCCAGACTCTGCGTCCTCCCAAACACGCAATTTCGACTTTTGGCGGACGGGCAAGAGACTTCGCAGAGATATATCCGTTCGTGCCAACGACATCGCTAACGTATATCTTAGTCACTAATTATCTTGTGTGTTTTCAGCTTCCTTCCATGACTGGGTCGTCCACTCCGGCGTCGACGGATAGCCACAGTTCCGGATTCAGTTCTTCTGCTCCCCACACTCCACTGTTCGCTACTACCCCAGAAGATTTCCTCCTATTTCCTAGCCGCTCAAGTCACAGAGAAACCGCATCTGAGAAGTCAAGAAGGAGCTCCATGAACTCTGTCGGCATTCGGGACTCGCATTCTGACATTTCTGAGGCCGACGCTACTCGCCTCAGGTCGGATGCATTCTGGGAACTCCGCAGGAGTATTGCCGTAAGCGGAGAAGGCCTTGTAAAGCGTATGCGTGATTTTGAGCGTTCCCGTTCAAAATCGGGTATATATAAGCGCGCTAGAACCGCTGATAGACAAAGAGCGAAGAAGCGGCATTCCCCTAGTGTCCCCGTGACCAGATCTGTCAGGAGGTCTAACAGCTCTGAGAGCGACGAGGATGATATCCAAATATACTCCGGAGAACTTTGTGGTCTCCCCATCTCGCGTCAAAAGCGAGCATCAAGCCTTGGGTCCATGGACTTGGACAACGATGAGATGCAGTCCAGTCCTTTATCAGAATATGTAGATCAAGCATCCACACACTCTTCGTTCTCCAATGACGACGCAGACGATCTTTCCTGCCACTCCTTTAACACCACATTTCCCTCCGACTCATTACATTCAACATCATCATCTCCAGCATATAAATATTCTGCTTATACCACGACATTTAGTCCACCTCTATCCGGCCCTTCATTCAGCTCTCCGGCTCGTTCCTTTGAGGCACCACATTCCAGTCCCGCGCACCAAAACTCGGTCTTTCTATCGTCTCATCCCACCACCGCATCCTCTGCATCCAGCCAGAAAGATGTGTCTCTGACCTCCTCTGCCTCGCGGACTGAAAAGGCCATTGCGGCTCTTAGTCTGGCAATAGCCAACGGTGCGGCGGGTCTGGGCGACTACGACGCCCTTCGTGATATCCCTTCTGTCATGATAGACTCCCAAGTGGGCGAGCTCTGGCACTAGGTGACGCATCGACCCCCACAACCACAATTATCAGGATCTTATCTTTCAAAAGTCTTTGTTTATGCCTCATTTCCATATGATACTATTCGCATGCACCTCTGTCTGGACTGGATCCAAAATCTTTTTTTAACAGCAATATTCTTCCCAACGCACACATTCTGATACCGCAGTCACGGTTTTGCAGATTTCTTTGCCACTGAAGTAAATCAATTGTTCTGTAGAATGCTCCCTCTTTCTTTTGGGTGATCGACGAAACTGTATTTTATCAATCATGTATCTGAACTATTATTTGGAGATAAATGGTATGCAGGTTCGACGCGACTTAAGGATAGCACTAATGAAAACCTGAGATCTGTATGGAGATCGTTGTGGTATCGATCGTCGAGTTCGTATAGATTGCGACAAAGCAGAAGTAGAATCAGATCGAAAGCAAGTTGAGTGGCGAAATGACTTGATGCCTCAAGCACAAGAACCTTCCGTCGTGACATTCGGATAAGTGGTATCAGGTGGATGTTGGTTTAGCTTCACCATCCTGTTGCCCAGCTTCTTCTGGGCTTGCGTGCGCCGAAGCCCTACGCGGTGAAGCATGCGATGAGGGAGGCTGCTGAGATGCACCTTGCTCCTCTACCTGTCCCCGTTCCCTCTGTAACCTATCAACCACTTCTTCCATCTTAATGCGCTTGCGCATTTCATCTAGATAAAGCTCTTCAGCTCGTTTTCGAGCCTGGCATTCAAAGTCCAGTTGACGGTTCATGGCTGGTTGACAGGAACAGTCAGTTCAGGTCAAAAGCAATGTCAACTAGGGTTAGTACCGGCGATTAAGTGCTGCACAGCAGGTGGGACGTAAATAGATGGCGCTGTGGGAGACACTGGCACCCATGACGAAAGCACCTCATGCAGGTCCAGCATGTGAAAACCCAAAACGACATCCTCGATATCGGCTTGAGATGAGACAACGAGCTCAATATCGACGGCGGAAGAAGCCCTGGCCGAAAATCTTCAGGTTCAACAGGGGCAGCAGGGCTCGTTGAAATCGTGGTCTCGGGGAGGATATCAAGCTTTGACAGCATAGGACTACTTGGGGAATGTAATGTCGCGATTTTGCTGTCGGTAGCAAGTAGTTGGAGGGGCTGGTTCACAACCTCTAGAGAACCCATGACAGGGACATGCGAAGCCTGGGCTATTGTTTCCATTGTCCCCTCATTAACATTCTGCAATGGAGCCATATCCTCAATCACTAGATGAATATTCTCCGGGGACGAGCTCGGGTACCTCAAGTCATAATCTGGTAAACTGTTATGTGGGGCCAATACCTCCTGCGGGAGCGCAAGGAGTGAATAGCGACTCATTTGTGACAGGCATATCCGAATCTAGGAGTGGCTCAGTCACTTGGTTAGACAGGGAGCTGGAAGGCCGAGGATGAGTATGTTCTATATGGTCGTTGGCTGGAACGGGGTGCGGTTTGTTGGGTTCAGCCACTTCACCAGACGCTTCATTGCAAGGTTCCTGGCTTCCACGGTTGCTCGATAGGTGTGGCGTTGTATCCCTACCTACACTCGTACTTGACAGCAGTGTTCCTTGAGACTTGCGAAGGTTTGCCCACTCTTCCATGAGCGCAGCCTTTGCACTATCATCTGCAAGATTGATGTTACGCAGGGGGCCCTTCTTCTTCTTGAGAGTAGGTGCTGCAAGTGTCGAGCTCCCTGCGCCACCGTGATCCTCTCGCAATGACTCGACCGAGTCCAAGGAATCCTTGGAAGCTAAGTACGGATAGATGTCTCGACTTTTTGTAAGAATAAAGGGATGGATCTTCTTTGCCAATCGTGCTGACATCCGAGGCGATATACTAGTTGCAGACCGAAGAGATGTATTGGGCACCGAGACGAACGAAGACCGAGTAGCACGACCGCTGACGGTCGCCTGTTTCACGAAAGTGCTCAGCTCAGCGTGTGAGCCACGCCGAGTTGCAGACTTGTGCTTTAATTTTTTCTGTGGCGGGCTCGAACTCAGGCTAGTAGTCAGGTCGTCTGGGATACGTGGTTGGCTGGAGGACGCCACTGTTCCATTGTTCTTGAATGCTGGCGAGACCATGTATGCTTTTGGACTTTATTATTTCTCTACAAGAAAATGTTCATCAGATATGAACTCACGTGCACAAACGATATCACGAGATGAGTCTGTTGTATGGTCGGTGCCATCGAGATCATTGGCGTCCTCGAGTACGGAGCGTCCTAAAAGTCCGTCCATTCGTGCGACGAGGAGTGTTTCATGGACAGGTACCACGTACTCCTCTTGTTAACCATAATTCAAATGCGAGTCCGTTACAAAGTGATAACAGATGGCATGCTCCTGATCCTGTGTCATTTACGGTTGTGAAGTGAATCATGGGTGCAACCATGATGAGCATGAGGGTTGTTGCAAGTGATCTCCAGAGTTTACTCACCGACGAACACGAGATGGACACAATAAACGTTTTGTTGATAAGTTTGGGGGTGATCAACAAATCACTGGGTACTCAAGCTTGCAAGATAAGTTTTACCAACTTGTACAGCATTTACGGTCGTGCGAAACCGCCGTAGTCGGCGTATGTGCGCAACCAGCTAATTTCAAAAAGCGCTCAAGTTGATAAAGTGGTCCCACAACGTCAAGTTTATATTTATGCACAATTGAACCAAGGCTGATACTGGCTGATGTTACAAACAATGTCACATAGTAGAGACCTCTGTTCAACGTTGCAACGTTCAGCGCTAATGACGGCTTGGAATTGAGGGTAAAACAAACTAACGATACACTAATAGAGTACATGGGTCTCTGAACATAAATATAAGATAGAACATAGGTACGACGCATACTATAACATGTCTATTACATAGCGGCGCCTAGCACCTTCGCAGCCAAAGCGCGCAAGATCTGGTTAGACCTCGTCAGACGGCACAATGGAGTCAACGAATTGCATGCTTACCTCCGCCTTCTGGCTACCTCCAAGTTCGGAGAATACAGCAGCAACACTCTTACCTTTGGCATCACGTATCGCACCGACGCGGTTACCTGCATATGCGCCCATCACGAGACCCGGCAGATTAGCGACTATGAACCCCATTCCTGTTGGATAAATGATTCATTAAGATAATTATATAAGAAGATGGATAACTGACCACCACCACAAACGGTGCCGACGTACGACCACCATGGCACGTGACGCTCGACCTCCGGACGGAGAAGCTACACAAAAGTTAACTAATATACAGGGCTAAGAAAACGGGGGTAGAACCTCTTCAAAGACGTCCGCAAATACGTTCTCAGCATCAGGTCTCGGCCCTGGAGCTGGTGCTGCGCCTGCACTGCCAAACATGCTGGCAAAATGCGTGAAGAAATTCGAAGATGCCTTTGGGTCACTGCTTTTATCCCCGGCTCCAGTCGAGGAGTATAGTGCATCATATTCTTTCCGTCGTACTGGATCCGATAAAACATAGTAGGCATCGGCTACGGCCTGCTCAGTACTAGGTTAACGTGCTTTCCAGAGTAGATGTGTTGCACGCACTTGGAATTTTTCTGTGGCCCTCTTTCTCTCGTTGTCAGTGGCTTTGGAAAGTCTATCTGGATGAGTCCTGCGAAGCTAAATAGTTGAGTCGAAAGTACTACTAGTGTTATGACTGTCAAAGCACCTGAGTGACTCCCTTTTATAAGCCTGTCTGATCTCCTCGGCGGATGGCCGTCTTTGACACGTTGAGCAGCGCATAATAATCGGGAAAGCTCGACATGGGGAGTATCAAGAATATCGAGGGGAAGAGAACAAGGTGTGTGTGGAGAATGAGGTGCCTAGTACTCCCACAACTTAAGGTCGTGTTAGGGTTGAATTACTACATCATCTAAGTAAGCGTCACCTGACGATTGCTTCCGACCTCCACAGCTGTAATCGGTATCCAGATATCCATACTCTACCACTCGCCACATTAATAGTAATATCAATTCCAAAGTCTTTCATGACATTAGTTCCATTGCTACCGCACCTCCTTCGTATGACACAATCTCAGCAGATCCTATTCAATGAGTCAATCATCCGTATTTTCCTTTCGTCGCATGAAGCAGAAACGTACAGCTGTTCTATCCCGCATCCGTGATATTGTCTTAGCCCCTAGTTTCACCCCTTCTTCTGTGACGCCAATTGTCAATGCCTGCACTGCTGCTCTCCCAGCTGCCGAGCCTTCCAACATCCTGACACAACTCAACATCGAGGGCCACACAGCACTGTATTGGGCAATTGTGAATAATCGGCCACGAGCTGTTTGGGCGTTTAACAAGTTCATTTCCTGCTATTCCTCTGTTTGCACGTCCGACTTGCGCATTGCATGCATGATAACCAGCAACCATGCAATGTCTACGCAGCTAAACCTTGGACGTCGTAAGTAGCACATAACAATGTCCCGCTGGAGAGACCACTTATTTGGATACTAGGAAGTGAACAAATACGTTTGAGAGGCCTTTTAGGTTGCCCGCCCAATGGGATTCAGGTACACACATGTGATGAACTCACCAATCAGTTCAATGTTGTTTTGCGAATCAGGATGTTCCAAAAACGTCTGCGTACTGCTACTGAAAATAAGTGGTATCACGAATTTGTTGCAGGGGGTGTTGTAGTCCACGTCTCCGTCGCTTTGTTCCTTCATTGATGTGATAGCACCCCTTGCAGGACGCATATGGTGGCTGTGCTTTATCTTGCTAAAGCCTAGTAATGGATTATGGAGCGCCGAGATCGGTTTTTGGCACAGCCAGCCAGCGCGTCTTGACGCTGTACTTTTGATCGAGGCACACAGCCGGAAACTTGGCCGTGCAACCTCGCCTGAAGCGCTGAAAATCCCATCAACATTGACAGGCACAAAGTTGCTGGCCCTTGCACCTTGGTGGTAGGTTGAATTTGTCCTGACTCCATGAATTGCGGTGCACTGATTGTCTTATGATCCACAATGATCTCTATCCCTTGTGCTTCCGTTGGCTAATGGCTACTAAAGATCCACCGAGCGCATTGACTATGTGCCTCCTCCCAAAATGACTTGGCGCATATCGAAAGAGCTGGGCGATTGGGCAATGCACGAGTAAGTCTGTTTATCAATCGAGGAGGCATTTTTACATTTCTCCTTAATAACTCGAAACTGACTGACGTTGTGCTGTTATAGTACGACTGAGTATGTAGACCACGAGGGCACCCCACATGCGAAGCTAGAGATAACATTGTTATGAATCCAACAGTGACACTAGTCAATGTAATTGAAGTTCATTCTACTCAAAAAAAGTGCTACAGTTAAGTGCCACAAACGATTTGCATAAGTTCAGCGTTCCTTCGAGGCTACGCGTGGTGGGCAACATAATATCTCGAACAACGTCGAGCACGCTCGTCGCTCGTTCTTGTTAGCCTCCAGTAACCAAGACGGACCGAGGTGAGGGTGCAGGGCTGGATGGTGCAGTTGGGCTCGCTGGACGGCTGGGTGAGCGCGGAGAGGTGCTGGAGGGTGCACATGGTTATGACTGAAGTACTATAGGGTGGCGCTGGATGGTGCGTTGGGAGTGGTTCGAGATCTATAAGTTTAGTAGTGTAAAATAAAGCTGTGATGGCGCGCATTTGAACAGTTGGAGTCCGGACCTAAGCTCATCGATGCATCAATCACGATTTAACACTCGATATTTATTTATTTTGCTTCAGATTGTATCACTCGATAATTGTCCGAGCACCAACGACTGTGGGAGTCGCATGCTGGAGAATGAAATTCGCGGTGAGCGCGTTAAAAGAACATGTAGTATCTCAAAGTCTGCCGCAAAGGTGAGAAAATAGCTAGCTATAATACGCACACCCTAACGGTAGCGGGAAAAAACGAGTGATGATATCGCTCAGCCTTATGCCTTTCCTGCTGCAGCTGCCTTGGCATCCTCTGCGGCAGCAACCGCAGGGTTGACCTTCTTGCCGTCTTTCCACCGAATACGTGGGGGAGGAGCGCGGTTGCGCCGGCCCTCGCGTGACCGTACACGTACAACTAGAGGTGATGAATAAGATCGACAGGTGTTACAAAAGAACGTTTTGAGGATACACACCATGCGAGTGAATAGCGCAGGATACACAATATGCGATTTTGATATAGAGTTTTGGAATCACGTATTCTAGCATTGTTACAAAAACATAAGATCCTGTGTGGACAATACATTCGAATAATCTCACCTGGGTAGACACTTGCTTCACTGATATCTCGAACGGCGGCGCTCTCAACCATGTTCCTCACTGTGAAGCGCTTGATGGCCTTATCTTTTGCGACGCAACGAGAGCAGTTCGAGCAGCGAACGAAACCGACGTGGCCACGACCCTTCTTGTTGCGGCCGCCATTTCTTCTCTTTTCTTCGTCTGTCAGGGAGAGATTGAGTCAATGCATCCAGAGGAGTTGATGCCAATCCATCGCGTTTCCGATAAGAAATAGACAGTGCTCGAGTACACGAAACATATGACGTTCCGCAGATGGCCTAAGGTGACTTACCATGTTGTAAAGTTCCGAGGTGTCTTGAGGTCGTCGGACGTTGCTTGTCGTCGATATCGCCTATAGCCCAAATTGAAGCCACGGCAAGTGCCGCAAAGGCTCTCACGCTTCCTGAATACAGCAAACCTGCCGTAACCTTGGGCCGACGGCGCCAACGTTTGTTTTTGCGCTCCGTCTGATTATTAGCATTGGATACGCATGCCAACGAAAACTGCGTACATGTCAGCACGACGTTCGAGGATTGTGTATGTTGGTCCGTTGGACTTCGCCACTACTGTACACGGGACCCCGGACCCCCTGTGTATGGTTTTGGTATGCGCAGGCCCAGGTCCAGAACGTTCAAGTCAGGGTCGAGGTGTGCTGGGCCCATCAGTGAACCGGTGAGTTCTTGCGAGGGTACTTTGACATGGTCCATATGGTCATATGTCATGTGTCGCTTCGTGGGCCTCATATATTGCCCAAAGGTAACAAAATCGACATTAATTTTGCGAAGTTCTGACCGATGATTCAGCAATTATAATCTTGACACGAATGCGTGCATGCTTCCAGATAGACTTCCGGGTTCGCAATCTGTTTGCGTTGTCCGACATCCTTTCTTTAAAACCCCCGTTCGTTGCCACGGACGTCTTGGGACTAGACCTGGCTAGGCCCTAGGTAGATTCTACATGCTTATCTGCAGCCTGGGCCCTGTCGACAGTGTCCATGGAGCCCGTGTCCTATTTCCCACAACGTGAGCACTTCTTCCAGACCAGACGGAGAAACTGACATGGGAGTTGGTTCGTCGGTATATTCGTACCGTATGAGAAAGCGGCCCATCTGTAAAGGGTATGGGGAAACCAAGTATTGCTACTACTCTGTATGGTGAACTTAGACTACTATCATCGTAACAATCATAACAATCTACAAACTACGTAAATAATACGACACATTGCTAACGAACAAAGTACAGTGAAACGGTGCACCACAAAGAGTCCGACCACATATTTACAGGAATCACGAATAAGACCTTTAGCTGTCAACTTCTCCGACTAGCAAAAAGTTAACATAACGTTAGAAATAAATATAGCTACCATCATCTTGCACCTGTGGAAAAATATTCGGCGTCTGAACGAAAATTTAATGGTGCCGGTCGTGGTCGCTCAAATGCTCCAGGAACACGCACATCTTCGGGTAGTGCACTAGAATCCGGTGCTGATTGTGGTCTCTGTAGAAGGCCAGTCAACCTTCTTGATGACCTGACGTTTAACGGCTGGACATGAGGGGAAGTGATCGTCATGGATGGAAGTAGTAAAGGTCGCATCCCACGTTGTACTAGAGGCACGGCCGACTCTAGGTCTGAAGCCGAAGCTTCCCTCTCAGGATTTAAGACAGGTGATAGCCTCATTTGCGTTGAGAGTTGCGATCGCCTATATCTTGCGGAGGATGATGGCAAGCTCAATAGTCCTGCCGCCCCCAAAGGCGACGGACGGAACGGCGATATGGACAAATGGGGGGAAGTTTCCCTGGATCTGTGGCTTTCAGCAGTGCCAAGATTAAGAGCACTCCCTCCAGACTCATCCGAAGGCTTCTCCATCGTCGCATTCCTGTGGCTATCAGGAGTTGTTAGATCTGCAACAAATATTTTAGAAATCGCTCAGAAAATTCAAGAATCAAGACTTGCCACCTATGAAAGATGTAATCTCGTACTGCGTTCCGCCAGAATCAGTCCTGTAAGATCGCCACGCGTCCGCAGGCAATATCCTGTTGTCTTCCTGATAGGGAGTGTCTGACGTGAGGTCAGAACGAGGAGAGCTAGGCATGTCTGCCAAAGCTGCAGGAATTCTTGGCGGCGGAAGCCCAAGAGTATCAGAAATCGAGTCTTGTCCTAACCGAAGACGGGCCCGACGGTCTTCCTTCGATCGTAATTTAACAGCCGGTGAGGGTGGAAGAGAAGGAGCTCGAGAGGCCAACCATGGCGGGGAGGGGAAGTTGCTCAACGAGAAGTCGGACAGCGTCCGCGCGCTAGTGGAGGATGACTGACGCAATTGGTCAGTCTGGTTCGAATCACTTCTTGATGATGAAGGGGAGCTTGGAGAAGTGGAGGTCGGAGAGTGGGAAATTGGAGCACCCGGAGAAAATAATCGCAGCGTTGCGATTGTTTTTTCTAGCTCATTCTGCAGTTCTAGCAGTGCTTCGATTGATGTGCTGGACGAACATTGCCTGCTGGGAACTTGTGGAGGTTGAGGAGTAAAGCCCTTGATCGCATAGATAGGCGAATCTTGAGCTGGAGGATCTGGAGGGGCAGTCATGATAACGGTGACCCCATTTTCATTGGAGGATGTTGCAGTCGCCGGAATAGTAACAAGAGACGTCGTCTGCAACTTCAGAGGATGAGGGCGGGTGGATACGTCTGCACGAACTGCATGCCAAATTTGGCCACTGCTCATTGAGCCGTTCCTAGATCCGGTGCTCGCAGACTGGGCATCAAGTATCGATAGCCTTGGGAAGCTGGGAACAGAATCATTCACAATGTCTTTCCATTCTGTGGATACCCTGTCCGTGACAGAAGCGGCGGAAGTCATACTCTGATTTCCGGCACTGCCTTGACTCGGATCGAAAGCCCCCTTTCCAGCTTCGTTCTGGTCCCATAGCCTGGTTTTCTCCTCATCTTGGTTTGACTGACCATGAGACATGCTCCAAGAAACCCAGGGAGCATATCTTACGGTGGCAAGGACAGAATGACGGGCGGCATCAGCATTTGTACTTCTGCTTTGATTTTCGGAACTGAAAAGCGTTGTTACTCTGGGTGTAGACACCGCTGGTGGGGATAGCCTGAATGTCGATTCACGGGCCTGCTCTGGTAATTTGACTCTCAACAGTGCCGAATCCCTGGTTTGGGAAATAACGTGGGTCTTTTTGTGACGGAAAAAGTGGAGAATCATCATAAAGACGATCAAGATGTAGAGCTCTACTGCTTGAAGAAGTCGGCCAAGTATTGACTCAGTGAATGCGACTGCCAAAAAAATCAGTTAAGCAACGCATGTATGAACATTTAACTTACACAAAATCAAGTTTCCGGCAGAAATGCCAATATTAAACATTAGCGCCAAAATGGGAAACCCATATTCCCTGAAAGTGTGCGATCGGGCAATCGACGAGGTCTGAACGGTGTTAAATAGCAGCTTGAGAAGAAGCAATATGGAGACTATGACTTCGAGTGTAACATTTACTGCATACACCGGGCCATAATTATGGTATTGTTGAATTACGCGCCAAATGATTTGCAAAGCGACGATAGCAGGAATGGTGGCCAACAAAGCAACCTTTGCATATGATCCTGAAACACCCCACCGAGCCCAGTTGCCACTGTGGATGTTATCCTGAGAGCTGAGTGTGAGAAAGTTGTTCCATCGATCCTGGAATGAAGGGGGCTGAGGTTCTTCAATAGGGGGCTCAGAGACATACAGCCAGTAAAACAGAAAACGTAGGCCGATGGATAGGGCAAGTAAAACCTCCCTTGCTGTGATTAATGGTTGTACAGTGACCTGGGTCAAGTCACGGATGACGATTTGTATCAGGTCGATGACGACAGCTGCGAAAGATAGCAACACCGAAAAATAAAGGGAGACGACGGAGCTGAATTAAGCGTCAGCTCTGAATGGACAAGAAAATGCTGTGGTTACTCACAGCGTGAAATGTCTGATGACGAAAAGGAATGCAGATACTCCAAAAGCTAACGTTCCGACCGAGATAAAGGGAATGTCAGATAATACGAGTTCAACCTTGAAGTCCTCGTCAGCTTGGCAAATAACTTAGAGGTCATTGGACTCACATCGCAGTTATTATTGCTCGACGCTGCAGAAGAGACGAAGCTATATCCCAAGTTGCACGTCGAGGATGCATCGGACATGGAAGCGGATATGACCAAAAAGGAATGAAATGGCGTGCGTGCCTTTGCAAAGGAAACGTCGAGGCAAACCTCTCCGCAGTCGATACCAGCGAACTACCAAAACGAAGAGAATAATTATTAAGAAGTAAAGCGGTGAGCTGATGTGATTCTGAAACCGGCTGGCAGTGTGCGATCAAAAACTGATGATATGAAGCATCCAAAATGGCGCCTCCAACCTAGTAACTTTTGGAATGAATGTTTGCTTAGGAGGATCACTGAACCTCTTCCAAGGACATTCGGAGGGGGGCGAAAACAAAGATAATGAAATCACGGTCTATTTTCTATCGCAGATCTCCTAGCGCAGAGAAATCATTTGCTTGACAACGGGAGACATCGACAATAGCAACGAACGGATAGTTAATAACAGATGGAACGCGGCCATGTGTAACGTGTGGTAACAACCTGTAACAAGGCGCCGTGCAAAGACAACCTGGGACTGAAATGCAGTAACCCTCCAAAAAGGTTAATCGGGAAATTATGATCGAAACCAGGTTATGATTATAACCGGCCGGCTCCTTCCGGTCACATCGCGTAAGCATCAATACATCAAGCTCAAGTACTGCTCCTGGCACAGGCTGACACTCAGTGTACGCATCAGCGAGAATAAAGAAGACCGAGATTGTCGCTCGGCAATTGCGCAAGCTAGGTTGTTCATGTATCGCAAACTCTGTCTAACAAATTTTAAGTCTGCGATAATATTTACCAGTACTTGCGACCAATCAAAATGCATGGATTCATCAATTGATCTACAGAGTAAGTATCCAAGGACAAAAAATAAATCGTCGTCCTTAAATAACTCTATACGCGCTTGTCGGACTTCCCCACAACCAATACCTAGATATCGACATTTCTCCCAGTCCCCTGTTACTCTCTGGTCCGAAAATTCTCGGTTCCCAAAAGTTGCGTCACTTCAAGGTACGACGAGCATTACTCCTTCAAGCCTATACAAGACCCCGAGGAGCCCATCGTTGTTAGTTCCAGCAGTCATTCTTTCGCCGACGCCGTCTGTCGATGTCTTGCCTCTCAACACTGCGCCCGCTGCTCACTCCTCTGAGTATCCATGTACGTCCCGATTCAGTTCAATCTTGAACAAAAACTCATCTCCCTTCGTGTAGTCCAAATTTTAACTTATCCAATTGCCCACTGTTCACACCGCTCGAATCACAAACATGCCGTCGCCATCACGCTCTGGCTTCCACTCGTTCACCCCTTCAACATCAACCATATGAACGCTTCGGCGCCACCGCCTATGGAAGACCGTCGACCTTTATGAAGGTAGTTATATTAACACATCACACATGTAGTCTTCCTGAGGTCGACAACCGAGACATTATTATAACCCATATCCTGAAGTTAGAACTAAGCACCGGCACGCCGCACAGTACGTTGATCGGAAACAAGTGGAGCGTACGCTGCGCAATGCGTGGGTCAAATTTTGAAATTTGAAAGGCACGGTAGGATCCCTATGGAGCCCAGGCTGGCAGTGGCATCACATCATATCAGCTGGTTTATCTCAGTTGGCGGAAGCTGCCAGGTTGTTCCACAATAGAACTACGAGGAACGGGGCCACCGTAGAGGGAATCTGAGGGATGAACAAGGGGATTTTTTTTTTGGCTCCTCACGGCCATTCTAAACACACCTAGCTACTTAGAAGTTAAGTAGAATAAGAAAAAATGTGTTTCTGATTTTTTTTGGGACCTGGGATAGAGTACGGACTTTTTTTTTCTCCGGTGGAACCCAGGACGGCATCCGGACAAGTTGGGACTTCCGCTGACCCAGGTTCCATAGAGATTGAAACTGAAGCTGAAGGAAAATGAGGAGAAAAGAAATTTTTGCTTCTACCAAAATATCAATCAGCTTAAGCTTCATAGCAACGCGAAGTACATCATAGACATCGTGTACAACAACACGTTCTTTTGCCTGGAAATAGTGTACAACTTACCACCACCTCATGGTCCTACCTAGCTGGGGCTCTGTTTCATAATATGATCGAGAGCTCGAGGTTGAACCAGCCATCGTAGCACTGCAGTTACGCTACCCTGAATCAGTATCTTGGGCCATCAGCAAGAGCAAGACACGGCGTACCGGTACCGTGCTCCACGGATCTGGCGCAAATTGCATTTACAAGTGAATCAACTATAAGTACTAGTATGCATCATTTGCTTGGGCACCGCTGCAGCAGCGTGTTCCAGTCTTGGCGAATCCCACTGGCAGTACTACTAGTACCCCACGCAACGGGGATAAACTTTGAAGCCATTAATGGGAGCATGGATTAGACTTCTACTAGGGGCTAATTGTCTGGGGCGGAGTCTAATGGGGCTTGTCGATCGGCCACGGCGGAGTGGTGTTTGCGCCTGTACTGACCGCCCGCCCGTTAACTGTTCTTTTCCGGCCTCATCGACACCCCTCGTCGTTGGCGATATTTCCCGCCCGCCGACGCCTGTGTCGTCTCCTTACCTCTTTTTTTTCCCGCTAACATCGCGATACATCCTTCTTCACGCCACGCCACGCCCTTTCACGATCTTTACGACCAACATGAATCATTGCTGGGTTATCGAGTTAATCGGGCGGATGGTTGTTGACTGCTGCGCGGGCGAAGGGCGTGATGGAACGCAGTCAAGTTGGATGAGCACGAAGCGGAATCAAGCACGTGAATAGGGGAGAAGGCAATCAGTCGTCATCAGCGCCATTAAACTGGACGGTCTACCTAGACCTCGACACGGACAAGCCCCATAAATATAAACGAGGCTAATTCATAGGTTAATTCAGCTGGAGGTGTGCTGGTCTCTCTCATGCAGTACTTGCCCTGGCGATTGCGACTCATGGCTTGGAGTTTCCCAGCCACATGATATTACGCGTTTGAAGTACTTGAGCTTCATCTCTTGAGTCTTTTCACCGGGTACATATGTGCTTGACCGACATCGCATCAGGTACGCCATTTACAATCTTGAGCTTCTTGTTATTCGGGCTGGTTTGGATGTTTTGTCGAGTCTCCCCTGTCCCATATTCACCAAGTCACCGTGGTCGATTCTCACTTCACGTGAGCCCACGCGAGACTATTGTTATCATATGTACCTATCATACATTCCAGGAATCATTAATGTCCTTTGAGTTCAGACTCCAGAGTCCAAACAGTTTATACACCAAACGAACTTCCCCCACTAGTCATCTGCCGAACTAAGAACATCCCCCGACCCTCATCTACGCTCTTTCCACTTCTCATGCCAATCACACTCTTGGGTCTGGGTCGAGGCGTAGTAGTGCCCAATTGTTTCGTCGGACTTAAGCCACCACCGGTCAATTGTCTCGCAAGCACTGCATCACTGCCACGCAACCCAGTAAACTGACGTGCGATTGTGGTAGTACCTGTGAACTGAGGCTGAACAACTCTAGACGTGGAGGAGCCACCGCCTATGCTGCGGCCCGTCAGTGATGGCACAAGTGGTTTGATGGGCGAGTCTGCTTGAGGGTTTCTCAGATCCAGGGGAAGCAGAAGCTAATTGTCGATGTCGTTATGAATATATTAGATTTGAAGATAAACATCGCGTGGACTTACGAGGCATTCCCTACACCAGACACCCCCATCAATATCTCGTTTGGCAGCAGAGTCCAGTTTCTTGCCGCAACCAGGTTGCAATTTGTCACGTCGCCCTTTATTCGCTCCCTTGCCGCCACACACAAGACAGGACGCATGCCATCTAGAACCTTGAGGACCAGGCACTACACCCATCTCCATCAGAGAGACGGATTTGGAACATGCCGGGCATGTCGTTGAGCTGCCAAAACGAGGGGACGTCGTGGATACTGCAGGTGCAGACGGCCTGGGTGGTCTTTCCAGACGAGATGATGAGTAGGGACTGGTAGTGGCTGCCATCGAGGCTCGGGTGATGGCCTTTGCGGTGCTTGATGCCGTCGGCCGTTCGATGCCCCTACGTGATTCCGACGGCGAAGGGGGCGAGGGCAACAAAGGGAATGTAGATGTGATAGAACCTGAAACAACAGTGGATCTGACCTGAGTCCTTTCAGGAGGGGTGCACTGCAACTAGTGAGTCGATAGCTCAGGTAAATGAGTGAATCCGTGAGACTGACCTCTATCATGACAAGCCCCTCCTTCCCCTCTGGTAAAGACTGCTTGGCCGATCCCAGACACCTTAAAGGGGCCATCGCACATCACGCATCTGAAACATTCGGGGTGATAAGTCTTCGGTGGCCCTGTAGTATTAGCGTCAGGGACAGTTACAAACTGGCCTGCTGTTCTGCTTGTAGAAAGGGACCCCCCACACTTCGCGCACAGTGAATCAGGTATCAGGGTAGTAGCAGAGATAGAAAGTCGTTTGGATGCGTGTTTGGCTGGTTTTGGTGTCTGCGTTGGGTTGGCCTCTCGGGTGTCGTGTTCCGACTCAACAGAGTCGCTGGGTTTGTCGGGCGAGTAAAAGGTACTACCATTGCCGAAGATGTCGACATGGCGCGCTGGTGGACTAAAGGGCAGGGGAGAAGATGGAGATGATGCCTCTGTCGTGATGTCTGACATATCGGACATTAATTCCGGTGTAGACGGAGCCCAGGAAAGGCGCGGAGACAACAGGCTTGACGTGCTAGCTACACTACGAAGCGCTGGAGAACCGCGAGACCGTCTTGAGAGCGGAATTCGCGATCCCTCCAGGGATTTGCCGACAGGAGAATTGTTGTAGAAGGAAGGCGAAGACGAGGAACACACGACATTCGCATTTGTTCGTGAGCCAGGTGACGAAGGTGATTGTGGCAAAAATCGGCTCTTCATCTCTTCAATTGCTTCAGCAGAGGGTCGCCCTAACGAGGGACTGGATCTGCTCATCTCTGGAGTCTCAACCCGTTCGCGAATGGTTGTGCTAGGTGTCGTCCTGCGTTCACCAGCATCGGGACTTCTGGTTTGCCAAAACTCAGTTCGCGGAGAGCTGCTGCTTGAATCGACACTGTCGAAAGCAGAGGAAAGTGACCCCATCGGAGAGAACGTTTGGGGTAGCTTCCTCTCCGAAATGCGACCAGGAATGGGACTTTCCCCCCAACAATTCACATTGGTATAACGCGACGTCGAGGCACCAAGGGCACTTGGTGTCAGAGATGCATCTTTGGAAGGTGTGCGATTGAGCACTGCATTTAAACGTGCCGTGAGCTCTTCCATCACTGGGCTACCTTCTCTGCTCTTCATGATTCCAAGCCGCTGTTCTAGTTCATCGATTGCAGGGCTTCCTTGCCTACTCGTTGAGTCTCCGCGGAGGCGGCCTACGTGACTTCGCTCTATTTTCTCTACTCCTGGAGATTTGTGAGGCTTGGAAGGCGTATTGTCCCTCTTCAAGCAACTTTCGAAGCAGTCTGCGCAGGATGGTCGACCTAGTAGATCGACCATAGGAGCGTCGCCAATGTTTTTGTGACAACCGTCACAGCGAAAACACCTTTTGTGCCAAACACGGCCTGAAGTTTCCACGAAACCGCCCTCGCTCTTCACGATGAGTACTGGGCGATCACACGAAGGGCAGTCGCCTTTGGATCCACCGTGCTTGACGAAGCATGGTCGACACAGGAATCGGTCTGTATCTATTGCAGGAGCAGAAGGGTCTGGGTATATGGTCGCATCTGGTGGGAATTCAGCGGAGCAGATAGCGCAGCAGTAGGATGCAAGGGATTCTTTGGGCTGAAGGACTGACCCATAAGCTTTGGAAAGTTCGGGTGTGTGGGGGGAAGGAAGGATTCCTGCAGCAGCGGAGATAGTTGTTGGTGATGGAGGGGCTTCGTGATGGATGTTGCTTAACGATACTGAGTGCTTCAGCGGTGAGGCAGGTCGCGATGTACTTGATCCAATGTGTACAGAGGTGCGGTTTCCGAAAGGAGAAGATATGTCAATTCCTGAGTACTTTCGAGGTAGATGTTTCAGGGGTGAAGACGAGGCATCTGGGGTAACACTTCCGCTGGCGGTCGGGAAGGTGGAGTCGGAGTTGAATGGTTGTGCGCGGCTGGGTGGTCGAGTCGGAGACCTCTCACGAGAAACGTACGTCTGAGACCATCTGTCTGCAGCGGGCTCTTTGGAAGTTGCCCATTGTACTACAGGGGCTGACACCTCGTTTGATATGAACAGTTTACTGGTGCATGAAAATGGGACAAACCAACTGCTGTGCCACCACATTTGCACCGTTCTCCTATGACAATATTCCCGCACCTCCGACAGAAGCCCATCCTTTATCTGTCGACCTGCGAAGATTGATTCACTGGTAATGTTAGTTCTGGTAAGATCGCGACAAACGCCAGTTGAGAGACAAAGTATTAACGTGTAAAGAGAGCCGAAAACGCGCACGAGGCACAAGCAAGTCGAACATTCATGTCGCGGTCACATGACTAGTTACCTTCCTGTTTGGTCGAAATTTGAAATCCCTCGAGCGGAGAGGCCGAACCATCGGTTCTATGATTGCAGGCGCATCCGAACAATGTAAGCCAGTTTATATTGTCAGCCATGGGACCAGACCGTCAGGACGATTGTGCTGATCCGCTGTCTCTGGATGATTCAGCTTTCGTTGGTGGCATTACCTGGGGCATCGACTAAATTTGTGTCTGATTGGTGAATTTCCAGAACACGGGGACTCCATATATATGCAAGGTATAAGTACTAACATGGTAGGCATATAGCACAGCAAGATGTTGTAGCTCAGGACTGCAATCACCTACAGCTTTGCACGGGTGACTGGCTCCCAGTCGACACGCTCAACCTGCGAGGAAAGTTGCTTAGCAAACATAAGCAAGTGCACAACTGGTAGTACCTACCATCTGCGGTACGAGTTCGCTGATGCTTCGGACACCGAGCGACTGCATCCCAAAGCGGATTTCGCGTTCAAGGATACGCACCACGTGAACTACACCAGCCTCACCGTATGCCTTAACGTATACCAATTAGACATTATTCACATGCGACTGAATAGAAACAACTTACACTCTGGGCATAGAGGAACACACGTCCCAAACCGACAGCCCTTGCACCCAGACACAGTGCTTTGACGACATCGGTTCCACGGCGGATTCCCCCGTCGATGTACACTATCGAAGATGTGCATTAGATCAAGCGAAATATTGCTCAAGTGATCGGGGAACCTGCCTTCAGTCTTCTCGAACACGTCAGGGCGTTGTTGTCGTATCCTGTACAACAACTCGATTGGTGGTAGAGAGTACTCTAATTGACGACCTTGTTTATAACGTTAGCTTCAGTGATTCTGGGAGGTGAATAGATGCGGCACACCTCCATGATTCGATAGCACAATACCCTCACAACCAGCTTCACAAGCCAGAACAGCATCCTGGTAGCCCCTATCACCATCTGGGATCTTTATATAAAGAAGCCATATCTACTAACCTGAACACATTGAATGCCTGAAACAGGGATGAAACAGAGCGACAAACGACGGTATGAATGCACAAACCTTTGATGACGATGGGTAACTTTGTGATGCTTCGTATCCATGGTATCGTCTACAGAGAGAACTCACTCCCTGGCTTCTCGTGAACTAAGGTACAACTCACCTTTTCCCAAGTCATGTCAGCATCGTTCTTTATGACAAGTCCACCAGCGGTACCAAGCCGGTCAATTTCGCCTTCATCCCCGTCCAACTTTTTCTGAGTGGGGAGACCTTGGTTCTCAAAGTCCTCGAGATAATGCGGTGCCCTGATATCCAACTCGCGATTACCAGGAACCAGAGCATCGACTGTCAAGAAGACTGCCTTGTAGCCTAATCCTTCGATTTCTCTTATGCGTCTCTCGGCAGTGGCATCGTCGACGTGTTTATATATTTGGAAGAAGAGAGGCTGATCTAGGGAAACACGTGCAGCGGATATCTCTGCGTAAGAGAGAGAAGAGTTGGAGGACACCATTTGTATGATGCCAGTCTTATAGGCACCGCGCGTAAGATTGGCCTCGCCTAATGGGTGGCCTAGTCGGGCTAGCGCTGCACCGCTGATGTACACGGGTATCGTGCTCTTATAACCAAGTATGGTCGTTGAGGTATTGCATTGTGACACAGGTTTCATAACCCGAGGGTGAAAAAAGAAGCGGCCAAAGGCACGACCATTCTCTACGTGTGCTGTATGGTTGACAACCATGAAAGTGCAATTCAACTAGAGAAAGGCGCATGCTTACTGATACAGTCGTCCCCGCCTGAAGAGTAATAAGCCAAGGCCTTGTACGGCAGGATCTTCTTCGCAACCTCCTGCAGATCGCAGTGATGAGAGTGCGGTACGGTAGTATACCTGAGTGACTTACTTCCATGTCCTCGACATTGACTATCCTTTGAAGTGGTGGTTTGTTCTTGAGCGCCTCTTCAACACGTAATTCATCTTTAGTTTGAACTTTGTTCTTCCCTAATTCCTTTAGGCGTTTTATTGACTCGCTATCTAAAGCTCCAAGGTGTTTTTCCGGAGCAAGGTTCTTGTCCAAAGCGTCTGATGGATGAATAGGTACGTATGCAGCAGTAGCATCCTTTCCTCCATATCTGAGGATGACATTCGCTCCTCCGGGGTGATCCTGGTGCATCTGAGTTTAACGCATGTGCGACGAATGAACGAAACCCACGAAGAGGAAGTCGGTCACATCGTAAACTTTGTTTTGGATGATGACCCAGCAGGAGCTGAAAATGTGAGGCTGATTGTTATTTATGAAACGTGGTATGGAACGAACCTGGTTGTGATATGCTGGGCGACTTGTTCAAGAGTGAAGGTCTGCATTGTCAACCAGAATGTCGTGACGGAAATGCGGAGAAATCGTGACCCCAAATAAGCTTAGAGCATGACGATATTTAAATAAAAGCATGGATCGATGCCGGGCCGGCTGTCCGCGAGTGAGAGTGGACGACTGTACGTGACCAAGTTGGCAAGCAATGTCAGGTGTACCTTGTGGAAGTCAAATGTCATCATGTTAGTGGACCAGTGAAAAAACAAACAGATAACATCCTATTATGAGCATATGTGGCGAGGTCGAGGTGGATTAACATTTTAATCTTATGAGAATATCACGTGACTGTGGTTGGGCTCGCGTTGTGGCCACAGGCATCCGTTATTGTGTAGTTTCCATACTTAAACCACGCGCGCACCAGCAACCACAAGTAGCAACTCGTCTCTTCGTTTCACTTTCCTTTCATCTCAACGCCATCCAAATGATCTCCGTGCCAGGCCGTGAGGTCCTGCAGGCAATGAAACGAGTCGATATTCAGAAGTTGTGCAAAGTCAGATAAATCGCTCATGCTAGACCTGTTACTAAATCCCCTTCACCAGGAATACGGCGTAAAGGCGAATCTCAAAACAGAAGCATTGATAGACCTTTTACTTGATGCATCCCAGTGAGCCAGCCCCGATATTAATACCGATCCAGCAATTAATCACAACCAACTATAGACCCCTCCCCTCCCGAAGCATTCTTCCGCAGCCGCCTCAGCGATCTACATCTGTCAAAATAATAATTCAACCCGGTGATAGACCTCGCGGGCGCTCTAGTGGATCTGTAATCATTCATGATACCGACGAAGAAGGAGAAGGAGAAGAAGCTATCGGAGAAATAGAAGTGGAACAGCAGCCGGAAGAACACAAACCTCTACCGGCCCCTGTTGATCCCACCCCGAGAACGCGCAAAGCCAAAGATACCCAATATCGTCTTGGTGTTGGTCGACCAGTCATTGCCGGAGGGTAGCGGCGCTCGTGCTGTAACTAAATCTGGCAGTGTCTCAAGAGGGAGCAAGAGGGCGAAAAGCATGAAAAATGTCAAGCCATCAGAAGACCCTATTGCTGAAGGTGAGCGTTCACCTTCATTGATGCATCCGTCAGTGATCTCAGTATTTGCAGAGCCAGAGCCAGAACCAGAGCTAATCCCTGCCATAACACGTCAGTCCCTCAAATAAACGAATTCAAGTTGTCGAGTCACTCACTCTCCTATAGCATCAGAACCAGCAGGACTGAGCGACTCTTTTCCACTGCCCGAGCCACACTCCATACCACTACAGACGATTACCGCAGGCATCACAGAGCCTTCGTCCTCACAATTAGTTGAGAACGCAGTGGCTGCAGCTGTGAGTCCAATACATGTACGGTATCTAATATTTATCTTACTCGCGAGCATCACAGCTTGCTCCAGTACAAAAGGAACTGGAGGATCAGAAAGCTCAGTTATCTGAGTTAAGAGATAAAGTCTCGGGCATCATCGAGACATTCGAAACACGAATTTGGGGCCTGGCGGCGGAGATTGAACGCCTACGTGCACAAGCATCTGGACGTTGTACTGCTGAAATTCAGAGACCCAATGAGGCTCCCCAACGAATACCAAATCCTCCGTCAACCCCAAAACGCGTACGCAGTCCAGTCGATCCTCTTGGGTGAGAAGTTTTGTCATTTGTCATGCTGCATCAACTCACGGGATTCCAGCGATGCTTTGCCAGAGTCGTCAGCAACTTCTAGCGATTCCCCGAATCCCAATGGCTCACTCAGTCATCAAGAGCGAGAAGCAGATAACCCGAACCAGGGGGGGTCGCTCCTTCCTGGCTTTCGTACCGTTCTTGGGAAGCGTCCTCGAGATTCTACTGCCAGTACTGCTACTGCGTTTTTTGAGCTTGGACAAGAGGAAGAGCTTTCTGAAACTGAGATTGCGAAGAGAATTCCTCGGCCCGCTCAGAAGCGTGCTAAATTAAGTTCCTCTGCCATTACTGAGGACGCAGATGACTGTCCGGGCTTGTCGTCAGGCGCACAGGGAAGTCAAGACACCCACCCTGGCCCCTCACAACCCTCCCCAAGACCTGGTTTCCCCGTATTTGGTGATCCTGATTACGTAGAGATGCCTCCGCCCACAGACAGCCTCCTTGATTTCTTCGCACCACCTTCACCACCTTCACCTCCGTTGATGAGCGTGTCCACCACTGCGCCAGCGCCTCCAGATACTTTCCGTTTTGGTTATCTGCCTGCATCCACTCCAGCTCGTTTTACTTTCGCTACTGCAATGGGAACCTTCCCACATCCAGAACCCCCGACATCCCCATCGCCAGCAAATAGCGCGGATCGGCCACGCAGTCGTCAGTCAGAGCACCGCGGGATTTTCGGACATCGCCGCGGTAGCTCTGGAACGACCGGCAGGAGTGGGTCAGGCGGACCGACAGTTGGACAAGAAGGTGGTCTAAATCCCTCGATGTGGGCTGGCGGTATGCAGAGACAGCCATCCAGCAATGAAGTGGCTTCGGGCTTGGGACTGACTGTACTGCGCACTGCGGCAACGGAAGAGGGCACTCCAGTACCTCCCGCACGCCGTACTATGTACGGGACTGAGCTAGAAGGGGATACTCGGTTTGGTGATTTTGGTGTTGAGGGTGTAGCGACTGGCTTTTGGGCTGGAGGAAGGCGCTGATAATTTTATCGTTTCGGACAAGTTTCGGACCTTTATTTTACTTTTACTGTCGGTTTCGACTATCTACCTTTCATCCTAATATACTTCATTATCATTCGTACACACACTGCTCTGTCAGTTGATCTGATGTATTTTTGCATCTTCCTGTATTGTTACTTTGCTCTACTATCCATTCTATGGTGTGAATGAGACTATAAGTACATAGTGATAATGTCGAAACCAGTGCGACAATAAATAGATAAACCAGTGCGATGAATTCATTATCCCACGATGTGCCAGTGGTGCTGAGTCCAGGGTAATAATATATGGCGGAGTCATCTGTACAGTTGCCAAGAGTCGAAAGATGGATATCATAGTTTAGAGCGCCGGGATGAAGGACATGATTTCGTCGTATAGAAGTTCTGTAGACAGTTGAAGACACCAGCTATTGGGAAGACTGGAGTCACGTACCTTTCAGTTCAGCTTTGGTGAGGTCGTCTTTGAATTCTGAGAACAAGAACTGAGTGAGTGCACCGGAAAGATTCGAAAGAAACCCACGATCAAAGTCGAAGTAGTCTGGATCAAGGGATGCTACAACTGGTTCGTCCTCTGGGTCATGCTGTTGACCTGAGTTAAGTGTGACAGAGGGAATAAATATATTCGAACTTACATATGCAGCAAGATATGGATGGTTGAGAGCTTCATCAACCGTCAAGCGCTTTTTGGGATCGAAAGTCTAGAGAAAAATATACCATCGCTCGATGATTTCAAAGGAAGAAGGCGACATACCAAAGTTCTCTGTAGGAAATCGATGGCTTCGGGCGTTGCTTTCGGGAAAAGGGATTGAAACACCCGTCTTTTCCGGATTGGAAGAGCTCGGATATAGTCTCTTGATCTCCTTGAAGTGATCGAGTAGAACTCGTCCAAGGTTGGCGTGCCTTGGTACAAACGTTTATAATGCTATGCGTTCCAAAATCAAGAAAGGACATACCAATTATATCCAGGATAAGATTCAGCTGATGCGAGTAGTCACGCCCGGGGAACAGGGGTTTACCCGTCAACATTTCAGCAAGAATGCATCCAACCGCCCACACATCAATAGCCTTCGCAACCATGTGCGATAAGAGATGCGACCATCAGGAAATTGGGGGAGACTGACCTTCGTGTACATCTTAAAAGAAAGCATAATCTCTGGTGCACGATACCATCGCGTCGCTACATATTCAGTCATCAACCCAGCCTCCTTGGCGCCTGGGGTTGTTGCTTTGACGCTCCTCGCCAGGCCAAAGTCGCAAACTTTGAGGTCGCAGTTAGCATTGAGCAATAGGTTAGCCGGTTTTAGATCTCGGTGGACAATATCGGCGCTATGTATAGATTTGAGGCCGCGGAGAATCTGGTAAATAAAGTACTGGACAGCAACAATCAGATCACACCGGATTTCAGATGAGTTTCCAAAATTCACCTGACAATGATCGTCAGAAAGTTGTTGAGTCCGTATCACACGGTGAAGATCGGTCTGCATGAATTCCTGTATGACTTTCTTGGATTCAGCGCGCGACCGAAGTAGATAGATTGGATGAACTCACAGTACACTTCCTTGAAGTCTTCGAGTGACGGTGGCTTCGTTATATCTAATATAGAGATGATCTACAATCATCACTTTATGACAGGTCATCGATTGATGAACGAAGAACTGACGAACATTCTCATTGACACAGGTCTCCGAAAAGAATTTTAGGAGCTTCAGCTCTCGCAATGTTCGAAGGCAGAATAGCGTGTGGTCGAAAGGCAGGATCTTTTTGATGGCTACCTGTCGGCCAGTGGGTTTATGTGATGCAGCTACCACTGTTCCATATGCTCCTTCACCCAGACAGTGCAATATCTCGTAGTCGGGACCTTGAAAGTTGATTTAGCGGCATCTACAAGACAAGAGCCTGTGACTCACCGACTTCGAACCGAGCAAGAGGCTTTGTCCCCTTCACTTTGAGTGCAGGCGCTACGACCATTTTGATAATAAACCGGATCTACTATTAGTAGTAGGGCGTCAGAACTTTTGTAAAAGTGGCCTAGACAGAAAAGTCGTCACTTTATGGATGTGGTTGGAGATTCTTATACAGCTTACCACCGACCCTATGTATGCAATCACATCTGCGGTACCGGTGTGAAGAGGAATGATGGCCTAGGAGGTGCAGTGCTAGTAACGGGCAGTGTCACACCTGTCTCTTGAGCACCCGTCATCCGGAAAAAGCTGAGATAGGCCGCGTATCAGTAACATATGGTAGGTAGCATATCAATCACCATATGACTGCCAATTACAGGGGCCATCAACTCGGGCATAGCCTTGCAGTCGGGGATTCATTCGCAGGAAGGCTTTGCCAAGGCAAGATTCTGATTGGTTCCACAATTGTCGCATTTACGGAAGCGCAAGTCCACAGCCCAGGGCTGCCGGCTAGATATCACCTGTTATCATAGGACCGGGTAAATGAGGTAGTCTATGTCGATTTCACCGCACTCTGCAGTCGCTCTGGAAGGTATATAGGCCGAAAGTGGGTAGCTGGCGGCTCGTGGCCTGTCAAAAAAATACTGGAAATCTTTCGACTTGCTGCACTCGGCAGTCGGCTTTGTCGTTACCTGTGGCCAGTGCAAACGAGGTCAAGGGGTGCGATGTTCCTCCTTCCCTGGACCTTCGGGGATTTGGCGGTAATTCTCGTACAGGTATCAGCAAACGTGTCGACGTATTCTGCATAGACATGTGCAGATTGTACAATTGTAGCCGTGCTCGACTCTCACCAGTGCACCATTATTGATCTGGCAGAGAAACGAAAGGCATGCCGCATGTTACATCACACATATCTTTAGCACATCAATGCATCAAGGGCTGCAAGGGCTATGCAACCCTCTGTTGCCAGTGCGTCAATGGTAGACCGCCTCAGTGTCCTATCATGGAACGATTCCTCCAATATAAATTTATATAATTTGTGAGCACTGTTGCCATTTGACATTTGGTCATTCTTCCAATCTTTATCTTACATAGATCCTTAATTTGCTAGTTACCTTGACGCCTCGCACAGTTGATCCTCGTTGATCTCGTTTCAACGACTTGCAGTGTCGACGTGATGTTCGTTCGTTTTCCCATACTAGTAGATGATGGTATCAGATTCAATATCACGACGAACTAAAACGGCACAGTGGTACTCTACTAGGCAAGAGTACTATGTACTGCAGCTTAAGTATAGGCTCGATAACCAGCATTCCATCATGATTTCCAGGCGTCACAGGACGGCGTTTCAAGTTGGATATACATAGTTACATACTGATCGCCCAAGTCACATAAGTCTGTTAACGCCAAAGTAAAGTGCTCAATTGATTTGCTTGCTGCAACTTGTATGAGTTGTACGAGTCATAGCACTACTACTTACCAGTATCAGTACTCACCAGTACCAGTACTTGGTGAACGTGCCGAACGTAATGACAGCACTGGTGAAACTGTCAAGCGTGCACGTGGCCTGGTGGGCTCCTGGTTACTTCGTTTGCTATTCCATCTCGAACTCGAGACTGGTGCTAAATTAACAGTTGAGCCATCATGTCGAACGACCAGAGAATACAAGAAAATAACATATGAAAGCACAGATCTCATCCAAAGAACTACTCGTCTGCAGCTGCCATCGACTCCCTAGCTTTTTTCTCTTTTTTGAGTCGTTTCCTCTCCCGTCGAGCCTCATCATCCTCTTCTTTTCCTTCTTCCTTCTTTTCCTTCTTTTCCTTCTTCCGCTTCCTCCGCTCCGCTTTATCAACATCGTCCTCCGCTGCAGGTGCTTCTGCCATGGATACATCTGCAACAGATTCGGCCGCCTCCGACTTCCGTTTTCGTTTTTTCTCCTTCTCCTCTTTCTTCGGGGAAGTAGCCTCAGCAACAGGCTCTGCGACTACTTCCACTTTTTGAGCAGGTGCAGGGGCAATCGTGGAAGGGCCGGATTGCTAAAGAAGGAAGTGATTAAGACCCTCGAGCTGTTTTGAAAGGATCTCGCATACCTCTCGATTATAGTCCACGTAGTCCTTGCTCCATTCCGCAGGGGTTGCTTCATTTTTCTCACCATACTTGCCCAGTTTCCCCTCCTTAACCATTTTCTTTTTCTGAAGAGCCATAGGCCCAAGACCCCAACGGCGTGGGTAGGTGTCACGTTCCATGATACATCGTTTCACTTTTGCAACAACTCCATGATCACAAGTAGCAAGCTCAACTGTCGACATTTGTGCAATAGCCAGAGCTATAGCTTCGCCTGGCCGGAGATGTTAGAGAGATACCAGAATAAGTGGCTAAACTTAGCAAACCTTTTGTCGTCATCAAGACCACTTCCTCGTTAACTGCAATATCAGCTTCGTAGCGCAGGAGCCCAGGAATCATGAGCTTCGCGCCGTAGCAGACTGCATTGACCGCGCTGTCTTTCACAACAATGCGCTTATATCCCACGAGCAAGCTCTCCAGAGGCCGGATAACGCGGCGCAAGTACGATTCTGCACGTGATATTAGAATATATCCTGATAACGCGTGCAAGAACTTGCCATCTCGTGTGTTATCATACATCCACTGAGCATCCAGAACATCATGCATGGTCACAATGTCATCGTTTTCCGACATCGCACCACTCCTTACCCTCCTAAGCTCTTGCATGTGTCCGCCCACACCCAGCAAAAGACCAAGGTGAACGCAAAGCGTTCGGATATATGTACCAGCCTCACATGACACCCAAAATACGGCAAGATTACGCTTTTCATCGAATTCCAACAACTTCGACTCGTATATCGTTCGAATACGCAACTGTCGTTTCACAGCAGAGATCAGTGGTGGCCTCTGGAAGAGCGCACCGCTGAGTGTCTGCAATGCCCGAGGGAGGGCAGTGGGATCCGGTAGACTTGAGTGCAAGCGCAGCACGCATACATATTCCTTGCCTAAACAGCTTTGGTGAAGAGGGTCCCAGCTGAGCATCGATGTGTACTAACCTGCGCCTTGCTGGGACTTGACCAATCGCGTAGCGCGGTCAATACAAACAATCAAGCACCCTGTGACCTTAGGGTCAAGCGTACCAGCTATGTCCAGTTTTCTCAACACGTAGAATGCGCCTCAACCAGGCCACGACTTCGTGCGATGAAGGATTAGAAGGTTTGTCAAGATTGATCACACCTGACCTTCAAAGATCTCAGTATTCAGCGCAAAATGCACGTGGGATACTTACTTGATATATGAGACAAGGTCTCGTTTCAATGGACTGCTTCCAGACGGTATGGGTGTAAAATGACTGGAGCGAACCAGTAACTTGTCATAATTTTTGAGCAGGAGGGGCCATTCTGATGTGTCGAGTTTAGGTTGTGAACTCTCAGATTTTATAGCGAAGTCACCCTGCAGTTGGGCAGAGGCGACTTGCTCGCGAGTGAGCGTTGAAGTCATCACTTAAAAGTTTTGGTAGCGATCTAGTATCCACTTGAATAATTTCTTCGTTCAATCAGAGAAGAAATATCATGTGAGAAGATATTTCCAAACCTGAATCATCGGCATCTTCCAGAAACGTGATTTGGAACTGTACAGTTACATATATCACAGTAAACCTAATCTCTCGGTCACGGTTGTAGAAACGAACCTCAAGACTTCAAGCTTCCATCCCTCGTTTTCAAGATGGTCAGTCCCGGCACCGCTTTGCTGAGTTACCTTCTCAGTAGGCTCATGTCCTGCGGACTTCCGCTTGTTTTATCCTTTTGTTAGCCCAAAGCCGCTGGTGGAAAAGCCCCTGCTGTAAAGCACAAATTTGTGATCGACTACTCTCGCCCAGCAACCGACGGCGTCTTCGATGGCGCTGACTTCGAAAAGTTCTTGCACGATCGTATCAAGGTCGAGGGCAAGTCTGGTCAGCTCGGTGAAAACGTCAAAATCGTTCGAGATGGTGGGACATACTCTGTCAACACCAACTTATTATATTCTTACATATTTTGACAGGCAACAGCAAAATCACTGTTACCCTCCAACGTCCCTTTCTCAAAACGCTATCTCAAGTACTTGACGAAGAAGTTCTTGAAGAAAAACACCCTGCGCGACTGGATCCGCGTGGTCGCATCATCGAAGGATGTGTACGAGCTGCGTTTCTACAACATCGCGTAAGTGATTTTCACTTCTGAAAACATTTTATCTCACAAAAAATGCAGCCGTGATGGCGAGGAGGAGGACGAAGAGTAATCTCACCACTCCACATGTTTCTTGTTAATCATGTCTTATGGCTATGTCGTGACATCCCACATTTTTGCCATTGTCCCATCATCTTTTCTGGCTTCATGTGCATGAGTGCGAGTGCATAGGTTTTGACACAAGAAGGCAACGTGGATACATGATATTATTTTGGTCTACATCAGAGGCCGATAGGCTATATCATGGGAGTACATGATATTAATTTGGTCTATATCAGAGGTCGATAGGCTACATCATGGGAGTTTAATCATCAGCTTCGTACTCTCATCTCCCATTTCCAGTTTGATTTTCCCCAAAGCTGCGGTGGCAAGTTCATACCATAACACTTGAGACTCTGTCAATGGTTTGCCACGGAGTTGCAGTGCAAGGATCGTGGTTAAGTGCTGGCGAAGAATCTTGAGCGCAACATTAGCTTTGGCGGCGAGCTGATATCTGATTTTCCGATCAATGGACAACATGTTAGAGTGAATCTGGGTATAGTGTTATGATGTCAATGTCTGATTCACGTGGGGCGTTGTACTGACCTTGAATTCACTTTCCCCGCATAGGAGCACGATAGCGAGATCGTCGATGGGTCCAGTCTCCCAAGCATACATCTTCTTGGAGTGCCTGTAAACCTTTGTCAGTACTTGTCACCGTCATCATAATGTGCGATTACATGAGCGTGAAGTAAACGAGATGGTGAACACCAAATTCAGCGGGCTTCCTGCCAAAGTTAACGGAAGTAGGGTGAAAAGCGGCAGATTGGTTATTCGATATAGTGCGCATTTGCCCAGAGGAAGAGTCAATCGCCAGCACTTTAGGATAAAGTCCCGCAGTGAGAGCCGAGTTGATGAGAGCAATATTAGATCCATTGCTATCCAGAAGCGGCGGCACGTTCACGAAGCGCGTGCGGTTGCGACCGAAACGCGCACTGGATAGGAGCATCAGTAATGGGGAGGCGTTAGACACACTATTACATACCGGCTGAGTTCCCGAATGAAACTCCTATCAACAGTGATAAACGAAGAGTCGACTAAGAAGCTGCAACGAACTTCTCAGTCAAACAGTGATTATGTATCAAAACCATCATACCCTAGGAATTGTTGACGTAACTCCTCGATCTGCTGAAGATTCTGGTGGCTAAGGAAATTAACCCGACAGAACTTGCGCACGAAACTGGGATTCTCGGATGCTCTACGCCAACTCGAAAATGCATTGTGGATCGTCAAGAAGTCCGAATTATCTGAAAAGTGGAGGTAAGTTCATTTGTCTTATAGTGTAGTGCACAACTAACCAACGCGGAACGAACTCTTGGCACGGTCCGCTTCTTGCTCCATACCCATTGGTACTATGAACGGGGACTTGGAGCTCAAAGCAGCAGCAATTGTTAGCGCGGGGTCCAGACATCGGAACAATACCGCAGTGAGCAAGAATTTTCCTAGATGCACGTCTGTAGGCAACATGCTCAGAAGCCTACCCATCGGAGTGATGTCCTCTGACGGTGTGAGAGCGCGGACCTAAGCGACAGATGAGAAAGGTAAACACGAAGGTTCTGGTGTCGACAAACCTCGACTAGTGCTGAGATAGCTCTTTGCACATTGACTGGCGTAGGAGGATCCAGTGCGCGGGATAACACATCCTCGATGGAGGTACCAATTTTCACCTTCATAATTTTGATGCGCAGGGCGAGGTCTGATAAACTGAGCCGCATCATCTCTGGCAAAGGATGCTCTGCCAACTGAGTACAGGTTTTCAGCAAGAGACAGCCCAGGTATGCCCAAGTCTTACCAATGTATCATGACGAATCTTGGTGAACAAGTGGAAACATAGTCCATTCTGCACCCGTCCTGCGCGGCCTCTACGCTGAGCAGCATTACTTTTGGCAACGAACGTTTCGACCAAACGGCTGAGTTGGCGCTTTTCGTCAAACCTAAGGACAATCAGTGATTGTTGACTTCAAGAGGGAGGGGTATCAACCTCATCTCACGATGTTTGCCGGTGTCTATGACACAGGTAATGTCAGGAATAGTAATACCTGTCTCAGCGATGTTGGTCGCTGCGAAGGAGTAATGAGCAATGATGCTTGGCTTCGAGGAGCAGATGTAAATAAGAACCTATAACGATTTTACGAACTCCCTGGGGAGGAATGTCAAAGACTGCGCTCTGATTGTCGCTCGACAGCGTAGAATGCAACGGATATAACCTGAAGCTGTTTTCATCCCCAAATGTATGATGTTCGGTAAGAAGATCGTTCATACGCCGAATTTCCCCTAAACCAGGCATAAAAATTAGAACAGCCGCTGAAAAATGATGGCTCTTTTTGTCCTCAAAGCAGAGGCGTTCTAGTAGATGAAGAATCAACTCATAAGGAATCGCGCGCTCATCAAGAAGATTGACGGTGTTAATCGTTTGAGAAGAGTAACGCTTCTCCAGCCTCATAGACTGGCTTGAAATCTGCTGTCCGCCATCGACTAGCGTCTCTTCGTCATCATTGGCGTAGACAGTGTCTTCGTCCCATTCAAACCTGTTCCTGTTCTTGTGGGATTTATTATGTACTGATGAATTATTCGAGTAAGTGAGCGTATTGCAAGGAAAGTTTAGAAGCTGACTCACGATTGATCGCATAAGGTGAATTTTCCTGAATGGACCAATCTGCGTACTCTATAGCATCCTCTAAGAAGCGAACATCTACAGGGAAGGTTCGACCTGGGACATGTAATGTGGGGCATCCGTTGAAATAATTGGACAGTTTGTCTGCGTCCACTGTGGCCGACATGAGAATGATTCTGTGATGCACTTGGTCAGTGAACGGCGTAAGCTAGGGTGGGCGTGCTGACTTCAAATCCGACCTCTGGGAAAGAAGAGATTTCAGAACAATGAGAAGGAAGTCTGACTCAATGCTGCGTTCATGGACCTGTAAATTGCACGTATAAGGAGCCCGGGCTTCGGAGATAGCTGCACAAACCTCGTCAATAATGATGTGCTGCAAATAGCATTAGCTGCGTCTTTACCCTGATTCATGTTTTGCTCACCGTGATCTCATCAAATGCAGTACCTTGACCATTGGGGCCTGTGCCTCCCTCCAGCATACGAAGCGCGATACCATTCGTGACAAACGCTAGGCGGGTATTCCGCGTAGTATTGCTTTCTAATCGAATCGAATATCCGACAAGCGAGCTCGAGGTTCCAACGGCACCAGCAGAGTCGCCTAGCTCACGAGAAACTCGCTGAGCAAGAGACACCGCTGATATTCGACGCGGCTCCGTGCAGTATATCTTGCAAGGGAGGCCACGGGCCAGCTGATCCTCTAAAATGAACGCAGGAACTTGTGTTGATTTGCCGCTGTAAAACCAGAGGATAAGTAAGGTGTGCCTTTCAAGACGCAATGTCACTTTACCAGCCAGTCTCGCCACTGAGCACGAGGATCTGCGAATGGTCAAGAGTAGATAGGATGTCATCTCTATACTTCGCAATAGGAAGCTGCTTGCGGTGATACTACGAAAGTGAGGTTAAAAATGTGGATTAAACCTTCACTTATGGAGCCCCACTTACAAGCATTTCTTGATATGCAGGTCGCATTTGTCGCGCTCTGAAGTCCGCAATGATATGATCAAAGCCGGTGTCATTGCGAGGCGGAAGCCGAACTGGTGTGTAGTCTTTGGCTTCTGTGGTAACCCTCGTATTCTTCTCCATCAACTAGAAAGCAAAGCTCAGTGCGAGAAATAGGTATTTCAATGAGGAGCGTTACCATTGGATGAGCATCAATCTTTTTTTCAACAATGTTTCTCATATTCGCCCAGACTTGGCGATTGATCAGATCTTCCCGTAACTTTCTGTCTGTCTCAAGCTCATCCCATAAATCCCTGAAGACAGGCGGGAGTAACCGGAACGACGTATGGTTGGCTAAAGCACCAGAAGACCCGACCGCAAAGCCATCAGTGGCAGGGAATGTAAGAGCGTGTAAAGCAAGCGTTGCGACATAGTACTCTGCCTGGATTTCAGTATGACAGGCAATATCGCGCATGTTCCACTCATCCATCTTTTTCCCTCCCAGTTGACCGTAACACATGCGCGTTTGGCACGACTCGGCCCAGAAACAATACTGTAAGTGACCGCGGCGTACCGGTCAACCTTGAAGACAAACTCGGCTAGAAGTGTCTTCGGTGTTTTACTGGACCAGTGCTTGGGTAAGATCATGTCCCGTATGCGAATTATGCTCCCTCCCTCTCCAGTAATTTCGGAAGGAAGGGTATCCAAGATCTCAAGCATGCCACCGAGACCCTCCTCGTGTTGGTCAAAGATATCGGGGATGTCAGACGGCACAGGTATATCTTGTTTTTCAACACGCGGACCAACATTGAGGGGCTTTGACACTTTCTTCTCTTGTGCCACCGACAGCTCTGGACTCGATCCTCGTAATCTTGACTGGAGTAAAAGGGCGTCAACCCTAGCACGTTCTGACCGATATTGCGTTTCTGCATCTTTTTCATCAAAGAAGTAGTGCGACTTCAAAGCCATAAGCTTGTCTTGGAGACGCTGGACCAGTACAGGGTCACAGTGAGCCGCTGCCTTGCCTCTGGCAGTAAGATCTGTTATCTGCATCTTTATACGGACGTACTCCGCAACCAGGTCGTCTATATCAGGTGAACTGGATCTCGACGGAGAAGACCTCGTCGATTCGGCGGGAAGAATATCTCGAGATTTCAGCAAGTCTAAATCTGAGGCTGGCCGTTGTCTCGCCGGCACAAACACCGGAGCATTTGCATCAAGCTTTGACACAGCTGTCACTGCTGGAGAAAGTGGTAAGGGGGTGGATGGCGGCAAAGGACTTCTTGACGTTGGAGACTGAAGTTCTTTACGCTTTCTCCGAGGCACTTTCGAGTCGTCAAGGTCCTCAGCCACTGTTGACACGCGAATTAGAACTACAATTATAAACTTGAACAACAATCATCTCACCTCTCTCTTCAAGTTCGTCTTCCGAGCAGTAAATGTAAAGCTGCAAGAATGTA